TAAAAGTGCCCATCCACCTGCCATCACACCTCTTGGCTCCACTCCAGACTCCCTGCCTCAGAGAGACTTTTTCCTATGAAATACCTTGTATAACACACACACTTAGAACTTTCCAGATGGGGTGGGTGGTGACAAGTCTGTGATGAAGCTCTGGATGAGTACCTGTGTCTTTTCACCTCAAAGATGAATTCTCTAATGACAGTAAGTCAACTGTTTTTGACCTTGTGCCAAGGGAAGCTGCTTGGTCAAGTTTCAGTATGAAAGGGTAGTTTCCCAAACAAGAGGAATTTAGAACCTATACAAGATCATTGAAAAATCATATCCTTATTTAGCTACGTGGTATTTAAAGCTTAAAAAAATCCATCCATGTTTTTATGAGAATTTTTTAAGGACAGAAGGTATCGGATGTTAATTCTTAGCCTGGAATGGCAAAGATGAACACATTTCCAAAAAAGTAATAAAATCATCATAAAATAGTACATATAGCCACAAAACATGTTTTTGATACACATAATCGTATCAGTCATGGATAATGATATCTTCATTCAAGGCTATAAGTTGTGCAATGGAATGGAACCTTCAAAACTCAGCTCCTGCATTATTCTCCCTGGGACAACCTCTTGTGCTACCTCCTTCAAGGCCATGCACTTGGCTTTGGCTTCCTGTCCCTGCTCGCTTGGCACCTTGGCTGTATCCCTTCCCTTTCAGAGCACTCTTTACACTACGCCCAGATTGTCCTTTTACTTCCCTGCATCCCTTGCTAGACTATTAAGTAGTGAGATAAGAGTCTATTGGTTTTAAAATCTCCACAGCCTAGAATACAGTAGGCACTCAATAAATATTGGCTGAATGAATTCATTGTAAAGTAACAATAAGAGTGTGCATTTTAGAAATTCTTTAAAATTCTAACTTTAACATTTTTTTCACTTTTTTTTCATCAATTTTATGATGTCAGACAAAGCACTGGAACCAATTCTTTCCTTTCTCTTACCCTAAAGAATCAATTTTAGAGAGCTCACTTTTTAAAAATACCTGTGCACACAGAAAGTATCCATTGAATGCCTGCAAAGTAAAAACGCAGCAATGATGGATACATCTGTGATCACTGGGTCTGATTTTCCTGTGGTCACCACCTTACCATGGTCAAATCATGCTGCAATAATTTGTGACATTCACAAAACAAACATTCCCTCTAAAAGTCCGTCACTGTTTATACTGCTCATGATCAGTTTATGTCTCTGAGCAGAATAAATCTAAAATATATAACATGTGCAATATATGTGCACATCATCCGTGCCTCATGAACATGGGTTAGCATGTGTGCAACAGGGTCATGTTCATGTGACAAGACTCCCATGCCAGCAGCCTCCATTTATACTATGAGTTCACGTACCATGGTTACATGGCTTATGACCTATGTTCATTTTGGTTTTTAAAGGAATGGATCTAAAGAATAAAAAAATACTTACACAGTTGGTTGCATTGTTTCTCTGATTTTTCTACATGTTAGTAAGGATGCAGATCCTACTGTCTGTATAATTAAAGAAACAAAGAAAGCTGCAGGCTTCCACCAGAGGGTGACTGTTTGGGGGTGGGTGTTGGAGTGAGAGTACAAGGTTACAGCATATGCAAAAAAACCCCATCAAATTTGGCCATTGAAGTTCCATCCCTTTTGCACTATGAAATACTCCCTGGCTCAGAGCCAGTCATATAGAAATGGTTTCATCCTTAAGCATGAGAATAAGCAAATCATCAGCAGAATTCATTAACATTTAGGCAATAGCCTTGATTTTGTGTGTGTCTGTGTGTGACAGAATATTAATTTATTTTCAGAATGAAAAAGAATAAGAATAAATAAATAATACAGAGCTCAAAAACTTCTAGAAGGTGCAAAATACAGAAGGGTCTCTTGTGATTGTCACTCCTGTGACATTTAAGTATATTACTTAAAATTCTATAATAAACAGTTGGATCCATTTTCATTCATGTGACACCTATGGAATGAGAGGGTTTTTAGTTTCTTCCAGGAGAAAAGAAACCAAAGGAAAAAAATTTGAGGCCATGCCAGGAAGTCATAAGACAAAGCCACATCTGTAGCAAAGGGTGGCTGGGTGTTTTGGGAAGTAATTTCACTTGTGGGATTGTCCTTATGAACTTTCAGCTTCAATGAAAAAAAAAATCACTGAGTTGTGTTTCAGGTTTAAGATACCTGTCAGAACCTTCTCCTTTGGCAGTTCCCAGATCTATGGAATTTCAAGTTTGTTTTCTTCACACATGAACCAATGAGCTTGTTCTTAATAAACCGAAGGAAAAGTCTTTCTCTTTTGAGAAACTCAAGGCATTAGCTAAAAACAGCTATTTGAAAATACTTCACAAACATACCACATATGAATTAACACCAAGACAAAGAAATATGATCAAAGAAATATAAACACAGTGATAATGAGGTCAGTAACTAATACTCACTGTGTACTGCTCTGAAACCCCAAGTCACATTAAAACTCATTGGTAGATAGTTCGTAAAGGAGCACAGAAATCAGAGAACTAGGAACCTTCGGAGATTATCTCACACTTGAACAGCTCTGTCATTTTATAGATGGAAAAATCTGACACTTGGATTAAATGTCATATCTAAAGAAATCAAAAGTAAGGGCTAAGTTGACAGCAAAAATAAATCTCTTGATTCCAGATGAGTTCACATTCAACCTCGATTACAGTCATGTTTTAATGGAGTAGGCAGCAGAGGGACCCTGAGAAAGCCTTACTACATTAGATCATGGTTTCACATAACTACAAGAGCAAGTTGACATTTGAGATGCAGAGTGAGCAGTATGCTGCCAGATTCATTTGGGCATGATAATGTAGGACGGAAATCCATCACCATGTGAAGAATATATGAAGAGCGATAGTTTGTTTTTGGTTTGTGCAAATACATAACTTTTCTGGGCTATATCAAAAATTTGGCTTTATCACAATAAACAGCGGTGCACATATCTTGGGTAGAATTCTAGTCATGGGAAAACTAAAAATAACAAGTTGTTTAGTCATTCTGGACTCTCTTACTTTATAGGAGAAATATGTAGGAAAGTGAATGAAATCAGCAAAGATTTCAACTCATCCAGTGTTAAGACGTGGCTACCTCGGCTGCGGCCCTCTGCAAGCTGCTTCATTGCATTAATATTACTTTGTGGATGGATCAGCGGAGATGCTGAATGAGGTTTTCATACCCTTTCAGTCTCGTAGTCAACATCGGACATCAAGACAACCCTCACTAGATGTTTTTCTGTATCCTAAGATCCAGAATTCTGAAGAGTTTTAAAAATCACAGTCACCTCTTCTGAAAAGGAGATTATAATGAAAGCTGAGGTGCTGAGACACACAGGCAAAGCACTTATATCTGTGTGGAGACTGGTGTGAATCCAACTTTGTAAAAAAAACACAGTTTTTTTTTTTATCAGTTCTCAAATTTCTTACCCTTGGCTTTATTTTGCCCCTTGTGATGTTGACATGGTCATACCAAAAATGAGCTCTAGAGATAAGTAAAAATGAATACATATATCTTCTTTATAAATGTCATCTGGCAATCACAAATAGTGACACATTTTATTTTACCTAAAAGCCTTTTCTTCTGGCAAGAGAGAGTCTCAATACTGGCCCAGTGCATATTTAAAAGATTATACTTTATGTAATCAAGAGGCTTACAGAAAGGAAGAACAAAGTGTAAAAGCATTTTTGATTAATAGATGCATTTTTTGGAATACCAAAATCCTAATGTTTTAATTGAATAAATATATCTTTTGTTTCTGCTTTAAACACATCTAAAACAATTACTTATCTCTCTTAAATACCTATACCCCCAGGCACGAAAATCTTTGTTTAAACAGCTTCTTTCTTTTTTTTAAAACTATTTAGCACATAGGTTACATTACATTTGTCCTTAATGACGGAGCCAAGCCAAGAATATTTTATTTACCAAGACCCTGTGAATTAACACACTGCCTCCAGGGCTGTGATATTTCTTAATAACTAAGAGCTTTTAAAACAACCTAGTCATTGAAGTGAAGTGAAGTGAAAGTCGCTCAGTTGTGTCTGACTCTTTTGTGACCCTATGGACTGTAGCCTGCCAGGCTTCTCTGTCCATGGAATTCTCCAGGCAAGAATACTGGAGTGGGCAGCTGTTCCCTTCTCCAGGGGATCATTCCAACCCAGGGATCAAACCTAGGTGTCCCACATTGCAGGTGGATTCTCTACCACCTGAGTCACCACAGAAGCCCAAGAATACTGGAGTGGGCAGCCTATCCCTTCTCCAGGGGATCCTCCAAACCCAGGAATCAAACCGGGGTCTCCTGCATTCCAGATGGATACTTTACCATCTGAGTTACCAGGGAAGCCCTCCTAGCCATCATTTCATGATTAATAGGAGGGTGTACAGGAACCTGTTTTGGTTAAAAAAATAAAAAAACAAAACCCTTCTAATCCAAGATGAAAAGAGTAACATCAGTTTTACAAAAGCACTGCTTAGAGAATGATAGGGATAGTTTGCTTTATAATGCAGGTTGATAGAGCACTGTTGTTTTAACCCTTATTATAACACTTGAGTTTTTCTATGTTTATCAGTTATAGCAAGGGTCTCTAGAAAACAGGTCAGAGTGGGAGATACTCCATCTCCAAACCTATTACTACAAAGGAAATTTATAATGAAAAGTGAGATATTTTTCTTGCCTATGCCATGCAGCTGGTGGGATCTTGGTTCCCTGACCAGGGATCAAACTCAGGTCCTGGCAGTGAAAGTGCCAAGTCCTAACCAAAAGTAAGATTACTTTAACTGTGAGGGATGTGTAAACATTTATACACGGAAGTGTTTCTAAACTAATTTTTGAGATAAACAGGCAGTTCCAGGCAGAGCATGTTTCTGGCTGAATCCCATTCTAGGCAAGACTGAGTGTGTTATCTGTGCAGGGCAGGGAGAATGAAGGGCGACGAAGAAGCAGGGGGCTCACCTGTATTCTCCAAAAGTGCCATCATCTTCCTTCATAGGCTGGATTTCAGGATCTGCATGGGCATCTTCCTTTTCTTTAACTAAAAAATTACAAAAAAACATTATTATCTATTGATCCTGTGCTTCCTTATTCAGTCTTTAGGAGTACACTCGATGAGATATACAGCAGTGGGGAAATTATTCTATACATCATAGACATTACACAACCAGATGTATCATGTGGCTGCATTTATTTACTGGCCCCCCCTCCCCAGTCAGGGATCAAATGTAAGCCATGGTAGTGAAAGCCCAGAATCTTAACCACTAGGCCATCAGGGAACTCCCTATGCATATATTTTGAGTATTAGTCTCTTGGAGGTAACCTAGAAGAATAGAACAGGTTAGTATAACCTATAATATTTTGCTAACAGATAAAGTTAACCTCATGAAAGCATTTTGGCACAAGTTTCTTACTCACTTGATAGAAGTCTTAAGTTTCTAAGATTTCCCCCTATTTTATCAATCTATCTGTTAACTATATTCATGGGTACAAGTTGCTTTGGAAATCTATTCTTTTGTAGATTTTTTTCCCCGTCACTGAAAGGGAAATGGCCAGGTAAAAAGAAAATAGAAATTCACTGGATCTATTAAATTGAACAAAACATTAACCGTGTAGGGAAAGCACTATTACACATCATGATATCAGGATCCAATTCATGCATTACTTCCTTTAGAAAACTTCATGTTTTCCTTTTGCCCCTGCCTGTTGGTTTTAGATGCTATTTCAGCACCTATGACTCATGTGAAGCCTAAGGAATCAGAATCACTAATATCTTCAGAGGACAGATTCATCTGCTCCCCCAAGGTGTCTTTTGATCCTTGGCAAGTTTTAGGCTTCCATTACATACAAAGGGATCAGCAAGTGTCTGAACAGAAAGTCTGAATGTATGGCTCTGGGAAGATACACTTGGTGTATCTTCTTAGGGTAGTCTCCGTGATGACTCTCATGATTTCTTTTTAGTTTCACGGATTATCGTGCATCATTAGAGGGCAATTTCAATCTTTGTTTCTTACCTGGATATTTACCACCTTTGTTTCTTCTGATGAAGCAAACAATCAGCAAAATTAAGATCAGGAGAGCGACAGCACACATTAGACCGATGAACCAGCCCTGAGTTGCTATATCCACCTGCCGGCTTGCCATCGCTGAAAAACAAGTCAATGGTGTCAGTGCCAATGGGTTAAGGAGGAGGTGAGAAGTGTTGTAGCGTCTTGCAGTAAAAAACTGCCATGTACACGAGCTTTTCTATATTCTACATGTGGCCCCACACTGGAATCTGCCAATTACCAACCAGGAGTTACATAAATATTCAACTGGCGAAAAATCTTCAACAATTAAGAAAATTCAAATAAAGAAATCTTGCTGTTAACACCATTCAATGCTAACAAACCCTGCTGAGCATTGCATTCAGTTATTTTCACTATATATTTTCAACAGAAACATAGTCCCAAACCAATTAAAACATTTATTGTTTACAAGATAAGTTGTATTGTACAATGATAAGAATAGATCATTTGAAACAGAACAGAATGTATACATCCAATGGAGTATTTTTCTTTCAAAGGAACCACTTTCAGAGGCTAAAATATCATTGCAATAATGTTGCCATTTTCCCTAAATGTTTTAGAAACTGTCTGTTAAAAAAGAAAACTTTACACACATGAAACCTGTCCACATAAGATAACCAATCTTATTACTTTATATAACATCTCAATTTGTACACAAAATATTCCTTAGATTTATTTTTCATCTCATTTGCCAGAGTTCTGAAGGTGCTGGGGAAATTTCTGAAAAATCTTATTTACCATAAAAGGATCAACATGTAATATTCAATATCATTCAGGATCCAATCCAAAAACTATTAGGTCTATCTTTATCAGTGGTATTACTGGAGTAAGAGAAAAATACTCAATCACATGTGTACATATTAAGTCTTCATCTATTCTGAGTCAAATAATGTGAAGCCCTTTATTCAACCAATCACAGTATGCAAATCTCCTAAGAAAAACACAGAAAGATTAGCATTTCCAGTATTGTTCAAAAGTGTCAATCAAATGGGACAAAGTGCAGCATCAATGGCTATTCAGAAAAGCCCTTGAGAATTTGTTTCAAGACACTGGTATAAAACTTTTTTTATATCTTGATTTTTTTTCCTCTTTTTACCTTAATTAAGGTAAAGAGTTTTCTTCTTTTTATTGGTAAGAATGCCTGTATATCATTCTTTTAATTTGATTGAATTTCTTCTGAATCCGTTAACATGACTGGGTTAGGTGAATGTGATTGCTGGATGCAGAAAGAAGCATGGCGACAAGTATCCCAGGCTATTGTATGTTGCAAAAACAGCACCTTATTGCCTTTTTTCTCCACTCAAAGGATAGGGAGAAAAATGAAATGCTTAAAATCAAGTGTGAAGAGGAATGTAAAAAATTATGTGGATGTGTGTTGAAGAAATAAAATGAGAAGTGAAATACATTCTTTGGAATATGAATCAAATTGCTGGTAGCCAGTCCCAGTAGCTTCTTGGGCTTCACTGGTTGGAGGGCTTTTGAGTTGTATCATCACTAGATACAACTGAAGCAGGAGTATGGGCAGGACTCCCCTTCCATACAAATACCATAACCATCACAGGGAGGATGAAGATGAGGATGATGATAACGAGAAGGAACGTTTTGAAACTTACTCTACACTAGGCACTGTACTGAGGGCAAAATCTCATTCAGTCTTCACAAAAACCCTTTGAGGTAGGCATGAGGAATAAACTCAGGCTCAGAAGGGTAAAGACCTTGTCTGAAAGTCGGAGTTTTACCCAAGATTGTGGATTCCAAAGAACATGGTACCAGCCATTGCACACTACTGCTATAATGCACTGGTGCCCAGGCATCAACTCTACAGAAGTCTTTACAGAGAATAAAATGTTGTAGGCACTTGCATCTTTTAAATATTTTAAAAGTCCATCACTACACAAACTCTGGCAACATAGTTCTGTCAGTTTACACATGGTCTCTGATTATGTACATTTTCTTCAAAGCTGAACCAAAAATTAACTGATATAAGTCTATGGAGCCTTTGCTTGAAGTTACAGAGTCCTTGTTTTTAATATGCTTAATGCTTTACAGCCCTGTAATAAATACTATCTGCATTTACATTTTTCATCTAATTATGTGCAACTGATGAGGGCAAAATGCAAGAAGATACTCAAGTATTAGCACAGACATTGTCTTAGAAAGATGCTGACTGTCAAAACTGAACTGCCAATTGGTGGTTTGTGGCTATGCAGCTATGCCCAAAGTGGAAATGTTTCTTGACAGCTGATAAAGGAACACCCAAGTTGACTTTGAGTTTTGCCCCTATGTCTAAAGAAAAAAAGTATGTCTCACTACCCCATTTATTTAAGACTGGGCAGACACAGGATGTTAAGAGGTGCATGTGTATGCATGCTCACACACACACATTCAAGTGCACCAGAAGTTGATATAAAACAAAAATTATGTAAGTGAAAAGAGCTTCTGTTGATTTCCCATCCACATAAAAAGGAATATGAAGTCCAGAATGACTATAAGAGTCTTTAAATGTTCCCAGGACATTCCAAAATCATCTTAACTACAAAGGCACATATTACTACAAATCCAAGTCATGGCCACCACTATGCATCTCTCTCTCTCTCTCTCACACACACACAATGAAGGCTGTGAGGTTTTTTCTGCTTGAAAAAGAGTTAGTAGGATTGGGTAGGAGAGCAACAGAGGATTGTCCCTTTATTTAAAATTTTTACAGGTAAAATCTATTCATGTATTAGTTGAATAAGCCATATACAACACATTAAACAAACAGATAGACCTAAAGAATATGAAAACAGAAAAGAAACCAGAGACATGAAATTGATTTTGTTTCCTAGAAGTTAGTCTTAACAACCGTCTTCTCTATCACCTTGCTTGTTGTCTCATGTTTAACCTGTGTTCTGTGGGAATAGGTCTTTGAGGAAAATGTCCTTGAGTACTTAGGATCATAAAACAAACATGGAAGACAACAGACTCACAGACTTAGGAAATAAACTTACGGTTACCAAAGGGGAAAGATGGGAGGGGGGATAGATTGGGAGTCTGGAATGCACATATATACACTACTATATTTAAAACAAATAACCAATAAGGACCTACTGTATAGCCCAGGGAACTCTGCTCAACATTTTGTAATAACCTAACTGGAAAAAGAATAGATACATGTATATGTACAACTGAATCACTTTGTTGTACACCTGAAACTAAAACAACATTGTTAATCAACTATACTCCAATATAAAATAAAATTAAAAACAATTTTTTTAAAACATGGAAGAAAAAGTGTGAGATAAATGGCTTTTTTTTTGAAGAATCCATTATGTATAAAAGTGACCTGCTGAAGAGTTAAAATAGTTAGAAATGTTTAAAAAGGGAAAAAAATTACTTTGATCAAAGTTTGGAGGCAGTTGACCAAAAAAAAAAAAAAAACAAAACAGAACCCACTGGGGGAAAAAAAACCAAACTGTTGGGCCCAGTAAAATTTAATCTGTTTTTAATCTTTTGTGAGGGGAGAGAAGAGACTCAGTGACTGGGGGAAAGAGGTGAGAAAGCAAGAAAAGAAGGTAGGAGTCTTAACAAATGTGCGGGTAAGAAGCACAATAGCAGGATACCATCTCGAGTCTTCTTTTTCAGTGTGTGCCATAGGAGAAAACTATGAAATAGATCTTAGGGACTTCCCTAGTGGGCCGGTGATTAATACTTCACTTTCCAATGCAGAAGGGTACAGGTTCGATCCCTGGTGAGGGAGCTAAGATCTCACATGCCTTATGGCCAAAAAACCAAAACATAAAACAGAAGTAATATGGTAACAAACTCAATAAAGACTTAATAAAAATGGTTCATATCAGAACATTATCAAAGAAATAGATCTTAAAAAATCAGTATCAGAGAAAGAGATGGTGTCATGAAACAAAAGCACAGGTGAAAGTTGAGTCTAGGTTTCTAAAATGAACAGAACTCAGAGAGAAGCAGCTCATTCATGTGGAGAGTTAAAAATTCAGCCAGGATGCTATGTTTCCATGCCAGGCACTAGCATTCGCACCTTGAGATCTAGCTGGAGGGGTGAGAATCAAGAGCAGCAGCAGATCATGAACCCTACAGTTCATCCCACAGCCCTACAGGATAGACAGAGAAACTAGGAGGACCAGGAAGCTGGATTAACAGCATCTGACATCCTAGAGCTCATATGTTAAGTAAGGTCACTACAGTTTAATGGATGTTTATCCCCTTAACAGGGAGGCCTGGCATGCTGCAGTCCATGGGATTGCACAGGACTGAGCGACTGAACTGAACTGATTCGCTTAACAGTTACATTTACATGTCAAAGGTGACAATAGATGGTTGTGGCCTTATCCTAGTCTCCATTGCTGACACACAGGAATGGCCCACCCCTGCGCGCTCATCTTGAAACTTACTTGCCAGCTGCTGCTATTATTGTAGGTATAACCACATCAAAGACAAAATTTTTTTCTAAAGGGTTTGGTTTGCTCTCTCTCCTAGAAAACGATCAAAAGAAAAAAATGCCACAACTTGATTTTGTGGATGGAATCTAATTCTAGCTAGATCTGCTAAGTAGGCGTATAGGCGACCATGAAGGGTCTAGAATAGATGGAAAGACGTTCCAAGAGCTGAACAGAATTGTCATTTTTTTCTTTTTTTTTTGACCTATTTTATTTTTTTCCATTTATTTTTATTAGTTGGAGGCTAATTACTTTACAATATTGTAGTGGTTTTTGCCAGAATGGTCATTTTTGTTGCTGTTGTTTTTGCTTATTTGTTGGCCGTGTGGGATCTTAGTTCCCTGACCAGGGATCAAACCAATGCCCCCTGCATTGGAAGGAAAAATTCTTAACCACTGGACTGCCAGGGAAGTCCCTGAAGTGGTCACTTTGCAGACAACCTGTTCCCCTTGGGATGTGGGCCTCTGTGGCCTTGAATGGTGGGTGTAGAGAGAGCTTATTCTTGGTGTTGAAAATATAAGCTCTCCTGCGTTCTAGCTGGGTGATAGGGCAGGCCTTTCACCTCTCATTACAGGTCGTTGACATGGGGTAGAAGTGGGTAATAGTCTCTTTCACAAGATTGTTGTAAGGACTGAATGAGGAAAGCCAAGAAAACCGTTTGCCTAGTAGAAATTAGCACTGAATAAACGTTAACACTAGGGCTGTTATTAGCATCCTAACTATATGGACAGAATAGCTAATTGAGCTTTTGGTATTTTGAAATGAAAAGTTCTCAGTAATAACAAACCCCTTGTCCTGCTGGCTGTGAATGGCAGTTCCTCTTTTAAGTTTAATACAGAATTTTCCTAGAACTCTGTACACTTAAGGATATGAAAGTACAAAGAACAGAATGACAGGAAAACATTTTTCCTTAAGCATTATGATTTTAGCATATGAATATTTTCATAAGGTATTTTAATACTACATTTATTTAATAAGTTCTTAAACATTACCTATGGTTTTTCTTTTTTTTAAACCACTCATGTTCTTTTCTACATTAGAAGAAATGATTTTAAAAATCATAAGGCTTGGGTAAGGAAAGACACACAAAAAATACATTTTTGCCTATGGGTTCTACAGGAAATGCAACATTTCCCCAAGAATGCATGAAATGAGTGAATAAAACATGGTTTTATGAATCATAAAATGAACACATACCACACAACCCTTTAAATTGAAGCAAACAGGGATTATTTTCCATCTTATGAGGAAATATGGATATTTTTACACCTTACAAGAACATTTTCCTTTATCTTAGAGACTTTAATGTCCTTGTGCATTCTGATAATATTCACATAACTAAAATATATACAAGCAGTCAAATATGATAATTAAGTACATGAATTTAATAATTTTTTGTTCTACACCAGTTTAATATTCTTCACATCAGTTGTTTCGCCCAAACTGCAGGGTTCGGTTGGATTACAGTCCCTTTTGACATTAAAAATTGTGACTTTATCAATGAGTTGTTTCAGCTCTAAAGCATTTCAAAAATTCTATTCTAACTCTGAGGGAAAATTGAGACATATAAATGATGTGAAAAGTTGAGTCACCTAAATCATGTAGGTTAAGAATCATACTTCCCTTTGGTTTTGTAATGGTTTTGGCAAAAATGTAATTAGAAGGTGATTTGCTCAGTTCTGTAATTCATTTGATATAAAGAGCCAAAGACAATTAAAAACCCAACTTGCCACCCAAATGGGCCCCACAGGACATTCTCAGCCCTACGCACAATAGGCTCCATCAGCCTCCCGTCTCCAACTGGAGCACTGGGTGGCCTCACTTCTGACTGGGAGCCAGAACTGGTGTGGTGTGCACCTCACCTGGGCCTGTCTCAAACACATCCTCTGAACTCACAAAACCAGAATCTCCCTCAGCACCAACTCGAACTTTGTATGCTGTTCCTGGCATTAGACCCTTTAACCCAAAGAAGCTCCGAGAACCATTTACAATTTCTCTCCTCCATTCTTCTTTGCCTATGGAAATTTTGCAAAAACAACACATTTGAATGTTTTAAGGGAATGGAAATCATTTAATGCTTCAAAAAAGGAAAATACACTTTATAGGCAAAAGACAAAATCTAAGGTGCTTCAGTTTATCATTTTAGATGACATAAGTTGAGTTGTGTCAAATAAATCAATGAAAATGAACCGCTACATGACAACATCCTCAAAGAAAAATCAACTGGATATCAGATGACATTTTAACTGCATATATACCCACTGGATTAAATCTTTTTAACACAAGAGAAGCTTCTTGATCTGTACCTTGCCTTGTGAAATTACTGACTTTCTCTAACGATATTTATGAAAAGAACTGTAATACATTAAATAACTTGATCGAACTATGGAAAGAACTTTTTTTTTTTTAATTCACAAGACAAATCTTTCAGTAAACTTAAATGCCTTCAAATTTACCCAAGTTATAGATTCAACCTTTCTCAAGTACTGGTATTTCTAAACTTATAGGTTTTTAAAAAAATATTTATTTGCACAATAAGGGCCTAAACAGAAAGCTGGACTATATTCAACATTTTGTCACAAACATTCACTGGCCACCCAGCTCATTAAGTGCAGAGCACTGTATTAAGGACGAGGACTGGATTCTCATACACTCTGAAAATTAAAGTTCCCCTCTCCTAGTAGATGTGGCCAGGATATAAGTAGAGTACCTGACTTGGGAATACATTAAACATAGAAATAAAATTATTTTTTTTACTCTTATTTACAAGTCATGGGTAAAGAGTTTTAAGTACCACAATCTAAAAATAACATAAGCAATGGAACTTATTATGTCCCTTGTATTTCATAACATGAACAACGAGACTCCTAATTATGTATAAAATATATAGGTTGATGGTTCACTCTAATTTTTTCACATACATTGGATTCATTTATTTAGATCAAGTTATTTTTCAGGACGATCCACAGTGAATCCTGAAGATGTTCTCAATCTCTTCAAATATAGCCCCCCAATTAAAATCCAGGTAATGAAATCATTTCTTACTGCCAGCTACACTATATTCAACATAAAAGTTCCCAAGCTCTGGTCCCTCATATTCCCAACTGATATTGGCTGAGGTCTCAGCAGCAGCAGTAGTAAGTTTGCTGATCCTGGGGTATACTGCTTAAAATAAATATTCAACAGAAAAATAAAACAGATAGACAGACAAGTCAAATTGCAAAATCAAACACACAAACAATATAAAATAAGTTTAAGTACTCTGAAATTGTTCAAGTCAAATGAAATTGATAACAGGGTTCATTTCTACTTCACTTTAGAAAGGTTTTCATTTCTTAAATTATAGGATTAGGAAATAAATGAGAAATCAGAAATAATGACACACACATATTAAAATGTATGAGTTCTATGATGTGGGTCCTGAATAGTATAAACTGTTGTCCATGAGAGACAGTCCCAAGAACATCAGAGTCTCCATGTACTGATGTACAGTGGGGATGAGGTGCTGAACAATGCTAGGGGCAGAGGTCACAGCGCATGAGACTGCAAGGTCAAACCCAATACTAGCGGCTGCTTTTCCATGCTACTTATCATCTCAGTGTAGGTCTTTAATGAATTGGTGTTTAGATAAGAAAAATAATAGTGGCTTCTGATGTATTTTGAGTCACAAATTTCTTTAAGAATCTGCCTCTGGGAAATTCAGGGACCCCAGGTGAGAAGCATCTGCCCTGGAGAAGGTTGGATAGTTAGGGTACACTGAAAAAGAAGCTGCAAAAAAAAAAAAAAAAAAGCCCAGTACTAGTTATCAGAAGTGAAGAAACAAGAAATAAAATGAATAAGAACTATTTCATTTGACACAGGCCAGAGAGCAAGACAATCTTACTTGACTGTTCATTACATACCATGTTCTGAGAAAATCACAGTGTAAGCTAAACTAAGGCCACCTGATGCGAAGAACTGACTCCTTGGAAAAGACTCTGTTGCTGGGAAAGATTAAAGGTGGGAGGAGAAGAGGATGACAGAGGATGAGATGGTTGGATGGCATCACCGAATCAATGGACATGAGTTTGAGTAAGCTCCAGGAGTTGGTGATGGACAGGGAAGTCTGGTGTGGTACAGTCCACGGGGTCCCAAAGAGTCGGACACAACTGAGCTAAACTGAACTGAATCTAAACAGCTTCCTGTAACATCAGATTATGGAACCTACATGAAGCAAAAGACTTGCCACCTAGTTAAGATGATACCTACAGTCATTAAAAGATGTTATTTGAGCTGTTATTTGAGATGTTACCTGAGCCTGACAATTCTATCAGTCTTATCACAATGGTCTTACAGTAAAAATGACATAGTTATAGCTATATTAACTTGGGTAGTTAAACAGTGATAAATCAAATTATTATCCCAGGTGAAATATCCTAAGATAGTAAACCAGAACACAGGAATGGGTTTATTCAGGCTCTGAAATTAAATTCCAAATTATGTTATATAATTTAGAAGCCAAAGCCCTCTACTGAAACAAATTCAATGAAATAGTATTTCTTAGAATCAAAAACAGAAGTATATTAGACAAATTCAATAATGCATTTGACCTCTGAGATCTAATTCACCATCACATATATATTGCATGCTCCTCTGTGCTAAGGATGGGGGACAGCGGAAAGCAAAACTGATTATGGAATTACACAGGGTCCTTCTGTGGACCTAACTGATTTAGTTGTCTGAGGCTTTCCTCTTAAAGGAACAGTAATAAAAATATGATCAATCAACAGAGACACAGTTAAAACATTTCCTGTATCTAAAGCATCAGTGGCAAAGAATCCAGGCAAAACACTAATCTTCCTCAAAAATTTTTGGAATCATGGAACTGAGGAATGTAGTCTTGGCCTAATTGTGGAAGATGTTCAAGGCAGAGCCATACCTTCCAACAGAAGAGCAATTTGCTGCTGCTGCTTTTTTGCTGATTCTTAAAGATACCCAGAGAAGACAGTACAATTTCCTAAGGCTATACTGTTGGGCCCTTCTTATCACAGAGAATTCTAACACTCTTTGCTTTTAATCCCCAGTCGTGCACTTACTGAACAGATACTCTTGAGCACCTGTGATGTGCTGGTGGGATGTGCTAGTGTTATTTCTTCTCTGGGCTTTATCTAGACTCTATCTAATCTCTCTTCCTACTGTACGTCATTCTCTGCAGAGACCACCAGCAAAGTTAACTAAGCTTTAGCTTCCAAAACTACATCTCTGATTCTGTCACTTCCCTGTTTCAGATGTGGATGGCTTACTTCTGCCCACAGATGGACTGCTGTGTATAACCCAAATATCCTGGTGGTTTTTAAACCCCGTGACTTTGTTTATGCCACCTCCCAAGAATTTATACAAACCACCTTCCTAATTCATCTGCCAAAATCCATCTGTCCTTCAAAGCCCAGTTCAACATTACTTTCCTTGGAAAGTTTTTCCTGATCCTGTTTGGCAAAATAAATTGTTCACTTCTCTAAGATCAGATAACGTTTTCAGTTCCATCTATTTTCACTCTCTTTTTTTTTTAATGTATTGTCTTACCTGCTAGATTATAAGCATACCAAAGGCAGAATTTGCCTTACTGTCTAGCACACAGTGCCTTAAAAAGGGCTGGTGCTTTTTATGGGCCAGATAGACATGAGCTGTTGAACTGATTGAACCTTCTCTATAGTTAGGGATTTGGAGCAGGGAGGGAGGTTGCTCGTTTGTTTTTGGTTTGGTTTGGTCCAGGCCAAATAAAGTTGTGCACTTTAAATTTGCTTTTGACTCACTGGCCTTGTTTCGTGACCTGATCTGTAGCTGTGGGATGGACTCTGGTATACTGATAAAGTGAGGGTCTGACCACAGAGAGGATTCGTCTTCAGTCCCTTAGTCAGAGCTCTCCTCTGCTCTGTCCTGTTTAACCACAGTCAGCTGCTAATTCGGTCAAGAACTAGGTTCAGTTCTTGACTTACCAGTTAGTTTTTCCCTATTCCTTTGCCCGAACTGGTCACCTCACCCAAATGCTCTGATGCCTGCTCCCAAGGTGAGAAAGAAGGTAATAATCCATAGATAAAGCAGAGTTTATCGATCAGCAGTACTGGGACCATAAGTCAAATCCATTATCCATGTGCTTTCAGTTCATTTCTACAGATGCCTTCACAGGTCTATTTCCCCAGAGACCCTGAAACTATTGAAAGGGACAAAGAAATTGAACAAAGGCAGCCAAATGACTACAATTTCTCACACCAGTATTGAGAGTTTTGACCAAAGACCAGAAGAAGTGACTCCTGAAGACCTCAAGAGTACAAGAGTACCTATTTCCATGCTCAAACTGAGAAGAGTGGTAAGAAATAGGGTTAGCCTAGAGTTATACACCTAACTGAATTCTCTTGGTTTCTAATTCATGATTTTGATAATCATTTTGTAATTCTATATTTGAGAGCTTTGGTTTCATGAACATCTCTTAAAATCTGTAAGAAAATTTAAAAGTGTAAATTTCAAATCTATCTCAATAAAGAAGGAAAACAGAGAAGAGAATAGAGTTCATTCCTACAATGAAAAAAGAAATATTTTAAGGAAGGAAAACCCAGGGAAACAAATTATTCTTCAGCACTTTAAAGTCTTATCATGGTTAAATATCATCACTTTATGTAACCAATGTTTAATTACTGGTATACTTTTAAATGAAACAATATAGAAAAGAAGGTTAGATTTAGCTTTTTTGAAAAAATTTTAAACACCATAATCTTATCTGAGTTCCACCAGATTTCAACACTGGGGGCTTCAAAAACCTTCTGAGACTCTATTTTTGCTCATCTCTATAACAAGAAGGAATTCAAAATTCAATTTAGTAACATCAAATGGTGAAACCTCAACTATTTTAATTAAGATTTCCTTTAGTTCATCTTAATCATTAAAATCAGCGGTGATATTTTTTCCACTGGCATGCATGTCCTTTTCCAATATGACAAGTCAGTGGAAAACGCAGACAACCCTGCCACAGCTCAATTACTCAGCTACTGCACACGGAAGGAGGCCAGGCTCTCTCTGGAATGGTCCCATGAAAGGGTCTAAGGGGAGCCCAGCAGCAAATTATTGTAAGACAACCAAGGATTTTAATGGACATGTAACCATCCCTGGAAAAAAGCACACATAAAAAACAGAGGCTCCCATCCTTACACGACCTTGTGAAAATTTTGAATTTTTACAACTTTGTTCTTTGCAGTCTAAAAACACCTATAAAACATTATTAAGTTGATTGAAAATAGCTACAGTTCTTATTCCATCATTCTGAAATCTAGCTGATCTACATTTTATAATTTACCAAGACTCTGAGTATCAGATTTGTAAGAAAAGAGAAAATAAGATCAGGTCTAAGCTCCTAATATTTGAATAATTTAGGGCAAAGTGCGTATTTATTTTGGTTGACTTGTTCTTCATTCCTATTTGTACTTATTTGGTCTGTCAAAGTCCAAGAAAATCCCTGGCCAGGGGTGTTCTCTATGGGTACAGTGCCCCGTGAGGCAGGGAGGTCTCTACCGCTCGCTAAAAAGCTGACAGATCTGCCAAGAGTCAAAGACTGAGGGAATCTCTGGGTGGAAGAAATTCTGCAACTCATTCAAGCACCATTCTCCCAACCAATCTTCCTCACCCAGAGATCTGTGAGCAATAAAGGAGAACAAAAGAAATTCCCTGTGATCGCTGGTGCTTCCCCAGAGAGGGGAGACTGGAGTAGTTGGGTGAAGACAGAAATGGAGTAACACAGCTGAGGAGAGAATGGGGGCTGTCTAAACTTGCTCAGAGGGGACCCCGCTGGGGAGACTTTCAGCCCTGGGCCAGATGGAGTGTACAGAGAAGTCAAAATTCCAAGTGGATAGTGCAATGTGATGCCAGCAACATGTACACTGAGTTTAGGAGGATGACTAAATTGGCTTAGAACGGAAGCTCAGTTGATCTGATTTCTTAACTGGCTGTTTTCATCACAGGGCTAGTGTTTCTGAGCCCTTCATAGACAGCATGGTCATCATGAGGGACTGTGACAAAGCCACAGTTTGGGTCATGTCTGATCCAGCCACAATCCTTAGCATTAAAAGCCAAGAATAGGATTTTGGACCTGGGATAAGTCTTGAGAAAGGGTGAATTCAATGTGTGGCTTTCTTTTTGTAAAAAAAAGGCTAGACATGAATTTTAAAGTCAAGGTCTTGCAGGATCTTATCTTTCTGCTGGTGTTTCAGAGCTTATTTTATTTTCACTTTTTACCCATGCTGCACTTCCCCATGGTTAACATGGCAAATTTCACACATGTAGAAAGTCATGCAGATGAATTATTTTACCTTTGCCTGCACCTACATCAGGTGGGAGAATACCAGCTTTCATGAAGGGAAACAGAAACAGGACACTATATAGTTAGCATGTAAAGCTACATAAAAACACTTCTTAAAATGCTAAAGCATGCAAGAAGAATGGAGTGTACCACATCAGATACAGGGGACAAAGGTATGCTGGTGTTCCCAAACTTACCAGTAATCAAATCCCCACATTACTTAAAGTGCTTTATTCATACTTGCCTATTATGTAAGACACTTAGGAGATTTCAAACCAAATTTCAATTTCTAATGCTATGGAAGATAATCAAATAAATAACCCTTAAGCAGTTCTATAATTTAGAGGCATGCAAAATCTTCTACTTGTTTTTTTAATCATTTTCACTGAATCTAAAGTTTTTCAAAATCATTTTAAAAGTATGAAAGGAAGAATTCCTTCCTTTCCTAAATACTTTAATGGGGCTCTTTTGTTTTCTCCGTACCAGATGGCATAGCACACTATGAAGTCCCATGCTCAAATATAAAAGTAAATGCATTATCTAATAACTGTTTTGATTTCCTTGCCAGAAAACCTAAATCAGTATGTAGACTAGCAAATTTTTTCTGATGAATCTAGACCACAACCAGAATTACATGTATTTATTTGTGTATAGGTCTGCATGTCTGTGTGTGCATGAATGTGTGTTACACATATATGTACGTATATGTGTGTGTATATCTATATGCAAAGTTGTAGACTGGAAAAAAACATTGTCTTGAACTGTGAATTCAAGTGTGGCAAAATGTAATTTCCTACTCTTGCCTCAATATTTTAATACACATTTAAAAGGGACTTAAAAAACAAACAGCAAATCATTATTCCAGTATGAATTAAATCATTGTTTATATATATTTCAGAAATAGAAGTTACTAATACATGTTTGTATTAATTGGGTAACATGGATACTTCCATGGTAAGAAGGAAAGAAAAAACATTAACTTAATGATTTTTGTCTCATGATACTTCTAATTACATGGATTTTATACATACCCAGCTTACCTTCATCCACAGTGGTTATTGCTTCTTCTGTTATTTGACTTCCTGATCCTGCTGCTGTTTGCGCATAGAAATAAAACTTATATCGAGTGCTGAAATTTAAATTTTTTAAAGTCCAGCGGGTCTTGTTGGCAGGAATTTTCAGATCTACCAGAGGGCCTAACTCATGTGTGCTATTAACTGTCAACAAGAACATAAACAAAATAAGGTAATAAAGTAAATGAACAAACCAAACAAAAACAAACACACTGACAGAGAACAAAGCAGTGGTTACCAGAAGGGAAGGTGTGTCAGGAGAAGGGGAAATGGGTAAAAGAGTCAACTGTGTGGTGATGGAAAGAAGCTGAACTTCTAGTGGTGTATACAGAAGAGTACATACAGAATCTATAGTGTATACAGAAATCAAACAGTATTGTACACATGAAACTTACATAATGTTGTAAGCCAATGTAACCCCCATTAAAAAAGAACAAAGTCATTCCCCATTCACTGCTGTAGGAACACTATCACAAATACATGCATCAACCCAAAATGTTAAACCCGGATTACACTGAGTTGTGTAACCTTACTCACTCTTTGTCCGACATAATTGATAACCTTACCTAGTCCTATAAATGGGAGATTGGGTTTAACATACAGAAACTACTGTATATAAAATAGATAACTAAGAAGGACCTACTGTCAGCACAGGGGTGCTTCTCCATACCCTCATATGGCCTATGTGGGAAAAGAATCTAAAACATGAGTGGACATATGTGTGTATATATATGTATATATATATGTATATATATAACTGAATCATTCTCAGCTGTACACCTGAAGTTAACACAACACTGTAAATCAACATACTCCAGTAAAGATTACAAAAACAGAATGATCTCAAGATTCACCCTGTGATTATAATACAAATGCATCTGTGTAAGTATGTACATATATAGACAGGTATTTAATTTTGCTTTTGCAAGCCTTTTAAATGTAAAAAAACTATGGGATTAACAATTTAAAAATTCCGATAATATGGTGCAACAAGGGGAAATATAGTCTCCATTGGCTTCTAAGCTGGAAGAATTTTATAGCTGAATCTCAATAGCATTTCTTATCTCCATTTTAGCAGATGGAGTCATGTGTTCTTAAATAACCCCTAAACATGTCTTCAGGGCCCTTGTGCCAGATGTACCCCTTTTCTTCCCATTTTCTGGTTCTATATAACACCCACGTAGGTAATGACAGTATCTACCTAAACCCCATGCTCAAGGTCTGTACTATTCTACGGATCACTTAATGTTCAAAAGCATATATGTCATTTTTCTTTAAAAAGTATGATTTGAAGTTCCTTCTAGAATAACAGTTGAAAGTATATGTATATATGTGTGTGTATATATATATATATATTCTACAGCTATAAGGAAACAACTCATTTGTATTTTAAGATAACCATTAAGATCTTTTCCTTCTTAAGCCATCCAGTTCCTTTCTCCCCATAACTTACTTGGCTGATATTTTAAGGTATACTCTGTCAAAATGCCATTCGGGTGACTTGGTGGCTCCCATTCCAAAGTGAGAGAATCTAGTGTTGGATTAACAATCTTCAAAGAGGATGGAGCGCTGGGGACTTTAAATGAGAAGTATAGTCAACACAAAAGTTTTTGAATGTTTCAAACTGCATTAAAGTGACATATTTCACCAGATCTATACCATGCATCAAAATTTTTATAACTCATTCATGATGCAGCTGAAAATATGTTAATAGAAACCTGTTTTGCCTCACCATTTCCATCTAAAGTCATTAAAACCATTCTCTCCAAATACACAAGGACTTTGCCTTTATATGAACCCAAACTAATGTTCAAACTAATACTGTTGTTGTTTTTTTAAAGAGACAGTACTTGTTTGTTTCTTGAATGGGGTCTTAATAAAAGCAAACTAGTAACTGAACAGAACTAGTAATCTAACCAGACCTGTGAGGAGAAGCAGCTGCATTCTGGGCCATGAAGGACTGTTTTCCCCAACAAACCAGGAGTCTGCAAACAGTCAGCACACGCTGCGTGCTGGGCTCTGGGCCTGAGCCAGCCTGTCCAGGTGCAGAGGAGCTCTTATCCCAAGAGTTGACAGATGCCCAGCATCTCATGGTGATGGACAACAGCCTGGTTGCTGGCAAACCCCCGGCTCTGGGGAAGGCCTGCAGGGCGTCAGGTTCTCTGTGGCAGAGGCTGGCAGATTACCAGAGGACACATGCCTGGTTGTCTTTTATTCCCTTTCTCCTGAGGCTGATGGATGATGGCAGTCCTCCTTCATGATCATTACCTTCTCTACCCAACCTATCATGCTCCCTAGACCCTCCTGTCATTAGAGCCAGAAACCAGGTAGTCAACTAGAATTTCTCCCTCTGCCTCATTTTTACCATCTCTGGAACATGAAATTCTGCCACATCCACCCTGGTAACCTCAACTGTATCCCTTCCCTCCTCACCTCTCAGCTGCTGTCTCCTTCAGGCCTTTGGTGGCCTTTGACTGAGCCTAACAGAGTCCTGGCATATGATTCCAGGTTTCCTCATATCACTCCTTTGAGAATCTGACACCCATAATCTCTCCCCTGAAAAATACATATCCCTTGTATATAACACTAGGGGGTTTCATAGAGCTCCTTAAACCTATCCATCAACCTCTTAAGAGACTACAGTTCCAGGTTAAGAGCTCCTGGTTTGAGGGCTAACATCCATAGCATTTAAGATCAGCGATCATACTGGTCCTCCCAAATTGAACTTCCTCTCTTTCCTCACCATTCTTGGCTGCCTGACTTACAGTTCCCTGAAGGAGCCACGCTGCTTCCTACCTTTGTGTGTTGGACACACTACTTCCTCTCTAGTCTGTCCTTTAATCTCCTGGCCCTCTTGCTCTGGCACCATCCCCTGAGCTATCTAAAGAACCAGTGTAAGGTCTCACCAGTGAAAGCCTCTAGTGGAAGGAGCCCTGACCTCCAAGGAGAAATGAGGTTGAGGACAAGGCATTGTAATGAGACGGGAGTTGGGACACAGGTGACTCTCAGAGGCTGCTGGGCAGCTGCCAACACCATGAGCCCTTCAACCAGAAGTCAGGACAGGGTTTGTCTGTAAACTGCTTTTATCTGTGTCTGGGTATATGTTTGAAAAAAAAAACAAAATTACTAATTAAAAAAGATACATGCACCCCAATGTTCACAGCAGCATTATTTACAACTGTTCAGATATGGAAGCAACCCAAGTGCCCATCAACGGATGAACAGATAAAGAAGACATGTACATATACACAAGGGAATACTACTCATCTATAAAAGAAATGAAATAATGCCATTTGCAGCAACATGGAGGAACTTGGAGGGTATTATGCTAAATGAAGTAAGTCAGACAGAGAAAGACAAATACTATATGATACCACTTATATGTGGAATCTAAAAAAATACAACAAACCAGTGAATTTAATAAAAAGGAAGCAGACTCATATATAGAGAGAGCAGACTAGTGGTTATCAGTTTGGAGTGGCAAGGGGAGGAGGAATAGAGGTAGGGGAGCCAGAGGTACAAATTATTAGGCATAAAAATAAGCTTCATGAATATATTTACAACATGGGGAATATAGCCAAGATTTTATAACTATAAATGGAGTATTACCTTTAAAATTATGAACTTCTATACTGTATACCTATAACTTACATAATATTTGTATTGCAACTGTACTTCACCAGGCTCCCAGGTGACTGCGCCCAGACTTCCAGCCCTAACTCCTACATCAGCATGTTTGGGTCTTCCCCCCCCTCCCCCTGCCATGGCCTGCATTTGGAGTGACTCTTCCCTTCTCTTCCCAACATATTCTGTCAAGACCTCCAACCTTTGGGGACTTCCCTGGTGGTCCAGTGGTTAAGACTCCATACTTCCAATGCAGGGAGCACAGGTTGACCTCTGGTTGGGGGAATTAAGATCCCACATGCTGTGTTAGCATGAACTCTGAAGCTACACTGAGAAAAAAGTAAACTACCACCTAGAGGATTCTTTTCCTTTCTAGATGTTTTTCTTAGGCAATCACATTTAGTTCTTATGCTTTTTGGCTAAGGTAACTGAAGGTTTAAAGAAGTTATATAACTTGCTTCAGGTCAGAAAGTTAATGATGCAGGTCAGCATCAAATTAGCAACGTTCTACAAGACATTGTAATAAGATCGGAGCATTGTATATCTCATTGGAATGAGATGCTTCCATATCTTAGCAATTGTAAATAATGCTGCTGTGAATATTGGGGTGCATGTATCTTTTTTAATTACTATTTTTTTTCAAACATATACCCAGACATGGATAAAAGCAGTTTACAGAAAAAACCTGTCCTGACTTCTGGCTGAAGGGCTCATGGTGCTGGCAGCTGCCCAGCAGCCTCTGAGACTCACCTGAGTGTCCCAAGTGTCCCAACTCCCATCTCATTACAATGCCTTATAGAACCTTGCGTAAGTGACTGTCAACAGATACTGGATAAAGAAGCTGTGGTACACATACACAATGGAATACTACTCAGCCATAAAAAGAATGGAATTTTGCCATTTGCAGCAACATGGATGGACTTGCAGGGTATTATGCTAAGTCAGACAGTGGAAGATCTTTGGCAGTATGACTAAGTGTGGAGAAAAATAATTAAGTTGAGAGAAAGGTAGTTTTGGGGAAGCCTGTGAAGCCTTATCCACAGCCTCAGGCCATAGATGAGCTGACACTTTGCCAGCTCTGGGTGTGCTGTGTTCATCTATGGGACAAATCACACTTGACTTCCAGAATATACCTTACTTTGGGGCCCTTCTGTTATCCAAAGCCTCTCAAGATGTGCCATACTCTCCTAGGATCTCAGAAATACATCCAGCCTACCTCCTTCCGGAGTATTGAAGACCTTGTCAGCGCTGGCTGGACCCTCCCCTTTCCCATTGACCACACGGACATTCAGTGCGTAGTGGCTAAAGGGCTCCAGCCCAGGCAACATGCCGTGAGTCTTGCTGCCCTGGAAAGTAAGGATCTTCTTTTCAAGATGGCGCCTGTTTCTTGTCAATGAACTCTGTGCCTTCCAGTAGTAAATCTGAAACAGCAAGAGGAAAAGTCAGGGATGGACAACAGAATCAACAGAATCTTCATGATCACAAAATTAAAGCTTTATGTTTTTTCCCCAGAAAGTTCCCTGGGTACATTTTAGACTAGTGAAACAATAGACAAATATTGATTTTGAGGCAAGTGAGTAGGACCCTACGGGTAGTTAGAGAAATTAAACTAAGAATATTTGATGAAGCTGTACTATACTATTTTGTTAGAGGAGTCCAAGTGAATAAACTAAAGAAATGAAACAGCATGAGACCCACAGAGAAGGATTTAAGTGTCCTTTACTTATAGAAAATATTCTAAAAGTAAAAATCATTGTTGTTGTTTAGTTGCTAAGTTGTGTCTGACTCTTTTACAACCCTGTGAAAAAAATTAACGATTACTGTCCAATATTTACAAACTTTTCCAGACTCAATACAACTTCAAGTACAATATATCATTTAGTTTAATCCTAAAACCCAAAGTGAAGGTGTCACAACTTTTATTATGACTAGTCCTATAGTACAGTTGAGCCCCTGGGCTATCAAGAGGCAAGAAGACCCTCTGTGAAGTCTATGGCTTTCTCACTAAACCAAACTCATTGCTTAATTAAAAATACTTATTTTTTTGGCACTAAATAGAAGACACATATTTTGAAGAGATAAAGTATCAATTAACTTTGTATAAAAATGCAGAATTGCTATTTATTAAGTCCTCTTAAATTCTCTTAGGAGTTTAAAAGCACTTTCAAAAGAAATCAACATATCTACAGAATCTGGCCAAACTGAACATGATGCAGTGCAAAAACTGGCCTCTAGACGTCAGGGTTTAACAAATCAAAGCAGTGACTTCTTGGTCGCTAGGAAAGTTCTTTGACCACCCGTCAATCAAAAATATGAATCAGTCTTTCTACGCTTCCCAAGAACAAAGAAAATTGACGTTTCTAAGAATGACCTAGTTGGGACTACATGATCTTGAACTAAAATCTAAATTATTAACAACAAAAGTCTACATTGTTCTCAGGACAATTTTGTTTGTTCAACACACACAGTCACTATCGCTTTAAAGCTAGGTGCATTTCATTACACTGTAGTTTTCTGAACATTAGTTTTTCCCATTTCATGCATTTGTTAACTGTTGAGTTGGCAGACTGTTAGATTCTAAGTGGGATAAGTTCACTTTGTGAACAGTGAGATTTTGATCTGACTCTAGCTGGGATGCTGCAGAGGTGGATTGCCAGGTGAACTCTCAAGGCTTCCTCCAGCCAAGAAAAGTGAATCTGGCACTGCCTTTCACTTAGATGGGCAGGTTCTAAGAAAAAAAACAAGAAGAGTGTCTTTCACTTGCCCGATAGCCCTGCAGGTGTCCTCGGATGCTTTTCAGAGGTACAGGGTCCCAGTGCACCTCAGCTAAGGTGCTGTTTACCACGCTGACACGCACATTCCCGGGAGCCACCATTGGGACTGGGGAGGATGAGAAGGGGGTAAGACGTATCAATGGCATTTTGAATTTCATGCAAAGATGTCACTGTCTCATAATTTTGACTTGACACATGCCCCAATCCTATTCCACGAATTATCAAGCAGGAGAGTAATTTTTCGTTTTTGATATCTGTTCATTTGACTTTGTGAGAATAACATATCTTTTTTAAAAGTAATAACCTTTAACATTCCGAACCTATTTTCTACATAAGTAGGCTGTTTAAATGCAGAAGTGTTGAGCAAAATAATTGCTGCCTCCCTCCTTCCCAGTCTAAGTACCTCTGGATATGGCCTTGACTTGCACCTTGGTGATCTGTTTTGCTGGGGGAAAAATATACACAAAATAGCATCAGATACTTACGGTCTTCTCCAGAATGTCCCATGACCACAGCTGGCTCTGGGGCAAACCCTGCATCGTTCAGGGCCTGAACTTTGATCAGGTATGGGACAAACGTTGGGGTGCCCGAGACAATGTATTTGGATACATTTGCCACAACCACAGACGTCCATTCATCATCGCCATCCTTCTGGCGCCAGCTAACTTTGTACTGAAGGCCTGGCCCATTAGATTCAAAACCATTCAAGGGCTACAAGAAAAACCAGATAATCAGAGCTTATAAAACAGACTGCATCATCTTACACTGGAATGGCAAGTTCAATTCCCTGACTTAAAGACAGTGAACACTGAGATGGTAAGATAGAAGCTATGAACAATTTTATCCAGGAAAACTTTTGTCTCTTTTTCACATGTGATGAGATTCATAGCTTGTTTGGGATCAACACTTCAAAGGTAGTTCATTTCTATCCTGAAGTAGTAAAAACCACCCAAGCCTCTCAAATTTTGGCTTCACAGTTATGGGTGGGTGACATAAAACATTTTAGTTATATAATTTCCTTTATGTATTTCTGCTTGTGTGACAGTACATCAGTCTTTATTTTACTTGGAGACTGAAACTTGTGAACTATTTCTTTATTAAAAAAAAAAGATACTGGCTTATTCTGTCCTGTTTCTCCATGCATGTATACAAGTATACACAAATGTGTATGCATCTAAGTATGACTGTATGGGTCTATCTAAAGTAAGTTTTTAAAAACCACAAGTAAATACATATTAATTTTTCAAGTCCAGAAAATACACACAGGCCAAAAAGAAAATAGAAGTTGACTACAGGTACGTGTTTTCTAGATGGTTCTTTATGATGATGATAATTCTAGTCAGCATTTATTGAGCATGTATATGTGTTAGGCACTGTCCTGCAGGCTTTCTATGCATTAACTCCTTTAATCTTATGAGGTTGGTTCGTTGCTATTCCCATCACACAGATACATGATGGAGATGTTAAGTGTCACCAGTAAGTGGCAAAGCTGGGATTTGCACACATTCATTCTGGCTTCAAGGATCAAGCTTTTAACTACTACACAAGAAAGGAAGAAAGAAAGAAAAGAAAGAAAGAGTCCCCAAAATGGATGAAAGGGGATTTTTAATATGGATATTATTTAAAAACAACTTTCTGGGATGGGGGAGGGGAAGGAGGCTCATGAGACAGGGGATATATGTATAACTATGGCTGATTCGAGTTGTTATATGACAGAAACCAACACAACATTGTAAAGAGATTTTCCTCCAATTACAAAATAAATAAAAAAACAACTTTTCTTTCCACTCTGAATATACCGAGGAAAGTTGAAGATTTCAGACATAGCTCACCTTCCATGTAATCACCAAATTATCTGGCTCTGATCCCAGCCCTTCCACAGCTGTGGGATTTTTATCAGGTTCTAGAAGTGAAGCAGCCACACACTCATAAGCTTTGCTCTTTTGCAAACAGTGGAAAACTTTTTTATTTCATATCACAGAGGTCCTGCTTTACCTGCAGCTTTAGTCAAATACTGCTCAGATGCCTCACTGGGCAAGCTCCTCCCCAGGTTGTTTTCCGCCATCACTCGGAAGGAATAGTTGACATACGGTGACAGCTTCAGCTGGGCCGTGGTCTGTGTTCCAGGAACTTCAGTTTGGTGGTGCCACAGGCCTGGCTCATGCATTGCATCTTCATATTCAATGATGAATTCTGGCCATACCACATGCATGCAACAAACCCAAGACGTGAACTCATTCACCCAACGGGAGGTTACTAGGATAACGAACAGGATAATCTAACAAGAGCAGCCAAACATGACTTATCTCACTTTCAGGAAAAAATCATTAGGCTATTTTGACTTCAGAGTCCTATTATCGTCCTCAACACTTAAGCACATACAATAATGTTTGGTATTCTTTCTTTAGCATGTTGAATTAAAATTATTTAGAAGTGACCCACATATTTTTAGGAAAGTATAAACAATGAAGGAAATGACTGATTTTTTTTTTCCACAAGAGGAGAAGTTCAATTAAATATAAGAAGGTACCATTTCCTACTACATAGGCTGGCAACAATCAAGCATTTAAGATACTTTGTGGACTTGGACACAGGGAAATGAGCATTCTTATACTTTGTGGGAAGCATGAATTGGTACAACTTCAGTGGAGCACAATTTAGAACATCTAACATTTAACTCAGATACCCTTTGATTAAGAAACTGTGCTTCCGCAATTTATTTTGAATAAATGTGCTTATGCATATGTTCAAAGATACATGAAAAGGAATCCACATGGCAGCATTGTTTGCAAGTGAAACAACCTAATTTCAAACAAACTAAATGTTCATCAATAGAGCACTGATTAAATAAATTATGATGCATCCACACAATGGAATATTCTGCAGCTGTAAAAAATGAATAGGGCTGCTCCACATGTACTGAAACAGAATGATTTCTAAAATATATTGTTAAGTGAAACCAAGAAGGGTTTAGAACATGATCCAGTGTGTGCTGGATACTACAGTTGTGTAAACATAGAAAGATTTACTATGATGTACACAGATACACATGTGCTTGAATGTACATGTGTCACTTCTCAGAGGACACAAACTGTAATACTGGTGTCACTGGAGGAACTGAGAATCAGGGAGGAAGACTTACTTTTTAATGGATACCTTCTCTCTTGTCTCTATTAAAATTTTGTGGTATGTGTCCTTGTAAAAACAGGTATTTATTAGAAAAGATGAATGTACCACAGTGCAGCACTATTTACAATAGTTAGTGCAGTACTATTTACAATAGCCAAAATATAGAAGCAATCTAGATGTCCATTGACAGATGAATGCATAAAGAAGATATAGTATATAAATACAATGGAATATTATGCAGCCATAAAAAGAATGACATAATGCCACATGTGGCAACATGGATGGACCTAGACATTACAATATTAAGTGAAGTAACCCAGACAGAGAAAGACAAATGTCATACAATATTGCTTATATGTTTAATCCAAAAGAAAATGATGCAAATGAACTTATATACAAAACAGAAACAGACCCATTGACATAAAAAACAAACATGGTCATCAAAGGAGAAATGTAGGGGCAGGGATAAATGAGGAGTTTGGGATTGATATAAACACAGTACTCTATATAAAAGACATAACCAACAAAGACGTATGGTACAGCACAGGAAACTATACTCAATATTTTGTAATAACCTAGAATGTGAAAAAATAGGTATAAGTGAATCATTCTGCTGTACACGTGAAATGAACAACACTGTAAATCAAGTAAACTTCAATTAAAAAATACATGGAAAAAAGGGTATTTAGATATTCATTAATTATCTACTACTTGCCATGTAGATAATGATAATATCTTCATATCATGATATGAATTATAGATACAGAAATGAACTAGAAATATGTGTTGCACTGCTCATAAGCTCATCACTTAGAGTTCTCCTTCTAATCTACATTAGTTTGCTGGTGATCTCCAGTTTCATAAACCAATGACCTTCACATTTATATTTTCAGCCTCTACCTCTCCCCTGAACTGCAGTTTTGAATACTTAATCACCTACTCAAGAATTCCACTTGTTTGTTGAGTACAGCATCTCAAATTGGATGTGACCAAGACTGATCCCAATCTCCAGCCCAACTGGTAGTGACAACTCAGGTCAGAATCTTTTGAAGTCCTTTTTGATTCCTCTCTTTCTCTCAAATGCTCAACAGTCCTGTTGGCTGTATTTTTTAAATATATGCAAAATTTCAGCTTACCATTTCTCAGCTTCTCCATCCCCATGAGCTAATATAAGACGTGAAGATTTCTTGTGTGAATTACTGCATAATCTCCTAACTCACAAGTTCCCAAACTTCTCGGTCATGCTGGGCTTAGTGTCCCAGTACTTTTTTTCATGGCTCCTTTAGGTCAAAAGAAATACCTAACATTTCCAAGTAGTAAGGAGTTAGGTCCATATAAACTAGTAAGTGTTTATGTCTTAACTTAAAATGAACTGGAAACCACATAACTTCTCTAACCTTGTCAACAAATTAGATATCACCTTCCTCCTTTCCTGCTTCACACTGATTTTCACACAATACTTGCTTTTTATCACAGCAAAGGCTTTGCAGAGGTATGACATTGTCACAATGTGACATAGCACTATTAAAACTCAAACTGTGAACTACCTCCAGCTAGTATTTCATGGGGTGTCTGACAGATGTCACTGTATTTTAAAAAAAACCAAAATTTAAAAATCACAAACTTAACATCTGGAGGCACACTTGTGAGTTTGCTGAGGTTCTGCATGGTATTTCAATGTATGGGTTGAGAAGCACGGTCCTGCCTGGTCTCGCCACCCTGCTACCCTCTCGTTTCTCTATAGACTGTTGTCAGTAGACTAGCCAGTGTGATCCACTCTTGTTTAGTCACAAAGTCATGTCTGACTCTTTTGCAATCCCATGGTCTGTAGCCTGCCAGGCTCCTCTGTCCATGGGATTTCCCAGGTAAGAACACCAGAGTGGACTGCCATTTCCTTCTCCAGGGGATCTTCCCAACCCAGGGACTGATCCTGTTTCTCCTGCATTGCAGGGGAATCTATACCGCTGAGCCATTGGGGAATCCCAGTGAGATCCATTCCTCTATTTAAGTCCCTCCAATTCCCTCCCAACCCCGACAATGGAATACATGGCCCTACACATGCACATCCCACTCCACCCACCAACTCTCTGCCCCTTTGACCTTCTCTCCTACTTCACTCCCTCTTGTTCATTTCACTCCAGCTACAGTGGCTTCTGAGCAGACATGCTCCTGTCTCAGGGTCTTTGCTCTTTCTCTTGCTCTCCCTGGGAAATTCTTCCTCCAGATAACTACATAGGGGGTTCAGTACCTCCCTCTTCATGTCTTAATTGACATACACAAACATTACCTTCTTTTTTAAAAATGGATTATTTTGTAATTGAAGCATAGTTGATCTACAATATTGTGCTAGTTTCAAATATATAGCAAAGTGATTTGGTAATACATATACAGATGAATATAACTATAATCATTTCCCATTCTTTTCCATTACAGTTTATTACAATATATTGAATATAGTTCCCTGTGCTAAACAGTAAATCCTTGTTTATCTATTTCATATACAGTAGTGTAAACCTGTTAATCCAAAATTCCTAATTTATTCCTCCTGACTTTCCCTTTGGTAACCATAAATTTGTTTTCTATGTCTATGAATCTGCTTCTGTTTTGTAGATATGTTCATTTGTACTGTTTTTTAGATTCATATATAGGTGATATCATGTAATATTTGTCTTCTCTGTCTTACTTCACTTAATATGATAATTTCTAGGCTCATCCATGTTGCTGCAAATGGCATTACTTCATTTTTTATGGCTGAGTAGTATTCCATTTTCTTCACTCATTCACGTGTTGATGGACACTTAAGTTACTTCTACGTCTTGGCAGATTATTGTAAACAGTGCTACAATGAATACTGGGGTACATGTGTCTTTTTGAATTAGGGCTTTCATCTTTTCTGGATATGTGCACAGGGATGGGATTGCTGGATCATATGGTAACTCTATTTTCAGTTTTTTTTTAAGGAAACGCCATACTGTTTTCCAGAGAAATATTACCTTATTAATGTAGCTTTTCCTAACCACCTTGTTTGTAATTATATTCCTTACCCCTGATTCTTTAACCTCCTTCTCCTGCTTTGTTCTTTGTGTGGTGTAAACATGGACACACACACACACAGCCATGTGTATATATATATGCTTATATCTGACTCCTCTAGAAAGCAGATGCAGAGACAGAACTAAATGTGTACAGTGTCAATTTATACACGTATATGGAGGGTTAGGGTTAGCATCAGGGTTAGGGTTAGGTAAGTAAAGTGACTTTTTAAACCCACAACTGGTATCAGAGCTCAGTGCAGACATCTGAGGTATCTTTCTTTCCATTAGCCCTTGTTATAAAGTGACACATTCACCAGTGTTAACTCCTCACCTTGATGACATCAGCCTAGAGAATAAAATCAGCTGAGGGACCATGCCATAAGGATACTGGAAGAGCTTAGTAAAATTAGACGATGGATAAGCTTAGAGGTTTTAAAATCAAACAGATACTTAAGAGAGTAGACACAAGTCTGTAATATGTTTATGCTGCATGAAGACTAAATTGCTTTCCAGTGACTAAGATAATTCTGAAATGATGTGCATGTTGATTTATTATACCTGCTGTAAAGCAGAATAGTTCCAATGAAATTAAGCAAAAACCTCTCCTCTGTCTTCTGTTCTTTAGTGATGCTCCTTTCTCAATGGATTTTCAGTCCTTGATCAGAACACTCACTTCATTCATGCCAAGTCTTCCTGTTCATCCATTATATTAGCCAGACTTAGCTGGTGAGGATGCTTAGAGACTTTTTATTGCCCAGGTTAAAATGACCCCATCAGATTTCAAGGCATTTCTACTCTTTGTTCATTCATTCATTCAACAAATATCTATCAAGTACCTATTATGTATCACACATTCTTCTGAAACAAGTTAGTCAAAAATCTCTACCAATATGGAGTGTATATTTTAGTTGAGGACACAAATAAGATAAAAAAACTTACTACTGTATTATTGTGTACAGTGTCTATATATATATGTATACATGTACATGTACACACACATATACACGCACTACTCAGATCTCTTTTCGAGAGAGAACCCGCTACCAGGAAGGTCAACAGCAGGCTCTACCCGCTGCCCGTTTCCCAAGGACCAGCTGTGGCATTCCCGTGAGGCCACTCTCCACCTGAGCTAGCCCAGCGGCCGAGCGCAGTGAGGGCCCTAGGCTCAGCCCCACGCTCTGCGGGACCTCCCCCTGCAGTCCTTGCTGACCTGGCGCAGACGATCTGTGCTGGAGTCTGAGAATTCTCCCACACACTCCTCCTTCCTCTCTCCTTTCACAGACATCAGACCTGCATTACAATCTGAAGATCTTTCCTGCCTACTCCTGCTTTCTTTCCCTTTTATCTTCCATGGGCTCTTTCCCAAATAATCTCTCTCGGCTGATGTCATCAAAGTGAGGAGTTTGAGGCGTTAACACTGGTGAATGTGTCACTTTATAGCAAGGGCTAATGGAAAGAAAGACACCTCAGATGTCTACACTGAGTTCTGTTACCAGTTGAGGGTTTGAAAAGTCACTTTACTTACCAAGTCTCAATTTTCTAAGATTTGGACTGGTCTTTCTGTTATTTTCTCCCATATTAATGGGCAAAATATCTTGCAATATATCTTCCTACCTTGGTAGAAATTGAGGGTGAGTCTTATGGATCTTTAACACAAAAGGACAGTCTATTCACTTAATTAACATATTTATCCATCAGCGTCCCAAACCAGAAACTGTAACCAAGAATGACTCCAGCTCTGAGGAGAGGTGAGCCATAAATAAATGTTTTGGTTCCATGAGAAATGAAGCAGAGCATGCCAGGAAATATCTCTGTGGGAAATTTCAATTGCATGTGACAGAATGCTTTGAAAATAATCATAAAGTTTACCAGTGAAAACACAAATGATATCACATACTTGTAATAGGACTATTGTTGTCATCGCCTGGGGTCCATGACAGCTGAACACTCCTGTCGAGTTGATCTGTCAATTCTAAATCAAAGGGAGGATTTGGGACGTCTGTAGATCAAACACATACATCACAGTTAACCATCTGACCTTGAGGTTCTCCATGACTTATGCTACTATTCACAGAGGGGACTCTTAAAGACACAGAACACGTAACGCCCAATGAGCATGCAACCGAAGGAAATGAAAACAGCGGAGGCTGCTGGGGACACACACACGTCCAGGAGAATCCCTCCACGAGCTCTGCTTGTGTCTTTTTCAAATGAAACTAAGTCCCTTGTCACCAAAGCCAGTGGGGTGGACAAGTGTGGTTCTCCAGCACCCTCAGCGTGCGTCTTTTCATAAACACAGACGAGCACAGACAGAAACAATAATATGGAAGCTGAATTTCTAACAAACGGGAAACAGAGAATGGCAGACACTGAAAAACAAAATACAGGTAAATGCATGTACTGTTAAAAGAAGCTGCAAATATTCTTTCTGAAACATGCTAAGCTACAGATTTGGGGGCACCTGAAGAATATTTATATTTTTAAGGGAATTATAAAATTGATGCTATGCAGCTAGCCCTCAGCAAGCATACCTTCTGTGGATGCTCAGGACTAGTCAGGCATATGGGGAGGTGTGTTTGTTCTCAGAGGACACCAGGGTATAGACACCTGTTGGGATGAAGGTGTCCCAGGAGCACATCTCCCTTTTCTAATGGTGCATTTGAAATCCAGAGAGTTAATGTTCCACTTGGGTCTTTTCCTGACCTTGCTCTTGGTAGTAACTCTGGCTCTTAGACAAACCAGAAGCCATATAAAAATGTAAGCACTTTTTTGATACTAGTAAACAAGCAGTAAATGTCTATATAGGACAGGTATTCTATAGTATAATTCATGGTATCTGTAAAATCCAGCTGAGTTTTTGCCACAAAATTAATTTTTGTATTTAACACTGAAAAAAGATGAGGATTCTTTAATCAAAAAGATTTCAGGAAAAAAATTCTGATTTATTTTTCCAACTCAGAAAAATCAACATGATATGGAAGTGTCCTCTTTTTTGTCTATCTTTAGTGATTTATCTTCTATGAACACAGTGAATTGGTGGCTTTCTCTGACACAAAGGTCACATGTTCTAGACATCCATTGTTTTCCTATGTAAATTTCTTGAAAAGGGAACCCCCAAACAACATTTAGCTTTCCAGAACAACTTTTAATAGATTGAAGATCTAATTTGTGGAATGATATATGAAATTGCTTTTCCTGTCTGTAAAATGTGGACAATAGCTTTTGAAAAGCACTATGTTACTTTACAAAGAAATGATATCAAAGAGGGACTTTCATTAAATTCAATGACTTTGTAATAACACATGAAATACTTGGAATTGAGTGGCAATATATGCAGTGAGAAGTTCCAGGGTTATAATGAAAGAATGATTCACAGCAGGAAATGGACAACACAGTTGAACATCTGACAGAGCCCCTTTCCTTAAAGAAACACAATAACGTGATGGAGAAAGTAAAGGAATTTTTCTGCAGGTGTGAAATTGTTCAAAAGATAACAGAGAAAAAGGACTCATATTAGTTTACCGTAAATGGGAGCTGGAGTTGGAGTAGGAGCTAGAAAGGACAGTAATATAAACGATTTTAATCAAAATTAGTAATGGAAAGATATAGCACAAAAAGACAAGGACTGAGCATGATTAAGATTATAAAACTGAGCCTTATGTTTAGCTGCGAGGCATGGCATTGATAAACATACAGTGACAATTTGGGGGTAAAACCTCTTCAATTTTAAATAAAAGTAGATTAACTGCTCTGTCTTATAAAAACATCACTAATATGCATAACCACCATTTTAATTCCAGTTAATTCCAGCTGCTACAGGGTACATTTATACTGGAATTATTTCCTCAAAGGAATCTTTCAAAAAAGATGGGGGTATTTAACTCACCTATAAAATGGTAAAACTGTAACAAGAAGAAAATAGTTACAATTGACAATTTTTCCTTTCAGCCTAAGACAGGGCTGCCGGTTGTACTATATGTGTTTTAGTTCTTACCGACAACGCTAAGCACAGCACTAGCTGAAACATTGTCCAGAGTTGTGTTGGCCACACACGTGTAGGTCCCACCATCATCATCGCTGACATCAGCGACCACCAAATGGTCCTTGTCAACAGTGAACCTGCAATTATCACACATTCAGAGCGGCTGAACTGGACACCCAGCCACACCCCATAACCATTTTACTGGCATGAGAACAACGGTGAATTTGCTAGAAGGGAAAGATGATAAAGTTCAGCAGCACATCAGAGCTAAAATCCTGAACAATGCATGTCACTTTGATAATGATTATAGTTGGAAAATACTTTGAACGAATGAGAAGCTTGTTTTGAAATGATGGCAAGCCCTCTGGTCCTGTGGCTTTCAACCATGCCTCTGGAGTTTTAGGCACTTCCTCAAGACCAGGGGCTGAGGTGGGGCAGTTCCAGTAACTCTGACTAAAGGGCTTTCTTATGGCTTCTGAGACTACCACTCTCCAGCTCAATTTTTAACACAGTGCATATTTTTAAATAATTTATAATTATTGTTGTTTATTTTTCATTGAAGTATATATAGTTGATTTACAATGTTTCATGTATACAGCAAAGTGATTCAGTTATATATATATATATATATATACATATACTTAAATATATATAAATAAGAATATAAATAATAAGAGTATGTATATATATACACACACACATATATATGTACATATTCTCTTTTTCAGATGCTTTTCCATTATAGGTCATTACAAGATGTTGAATATAATTCCCTGTACTATACAGTAGATTCTTACTGTTCATCTATTTTACATATAGTAGTGTGCATCTGTTAATCCCAAATTCCCAATTTACTCCGCCCCCATCCCTTTCACCTTTGGTTACTAAGTTTGTTTTCTAAGTCTGTGATTCTATTTCTGTTTTATAAATAAGTTCATTTGTATCATTTTTCTAGATTCCATAAATAAGTGATATCATATGGTATTTTTCTTTGTTTGGCTTACTTCACTTAGTATAATAATGTCTAGATCCATCCATGTTGCTGCAAATGGCATTATTTCATTCTTTTTTATGGGTAAAGAATTCATCATTTACTGCAGAAACTTTGTATTATTTTTCCACATGCATAATTTGCAATAGGAAAAATGATTTGCAATAGAAGAAAATAAATGCAAACAATACCAATCAGGTTTATCACTAGAAACAGGAAGATTTAGATCACCAATCACTAAGAAGAATTTTCTAGAAGTTTCTTGTAAGCATGACAGTTTACCCAGTAGGTCAAAAATCTATGCAAATAGGATTCATGCATGGTTTTAACGAATCCACATAAATCATTAACTGTCGTCACAGGGGTTTCGAAGCTAAACCTTTAGCTAACTTAGTCCAATGGTCATTTCTTCATACTTCCTTCTCATCTTTATCAATTCAGATCCCAGAGATAAAACTTACCAGTTGAAGCACAGAACTAGATAGAAACCCTGGGCACAGAAAAGGCCACATAGTTCTTTTAAGGGACATTTACAGGCAAGAGGGCACCATTAAGGCACAGTTGAAAAAAAGCCACAGAAACCATTTCTACCAGCAGATAGCATTCCTTCCCACAGGGGTGATGACTGTAGCCCCCCTGTATCTGCTAAAATTCTTCCGTTCAACTGTGTACTTCTTCAAACCCACCTGAAAATAGGCAAGACCTTTCCTCCATTCCAAGCTAGAGGAATGCAGCATGCTCAGGCTCTTTCAAATTCTTTGCTTGTTTTATTTTTCTCCTCCTCCTTCTATTGGCTTTAGGTAAAATGGAAAGAAAACTCCCCATCCCAAATAAAAACTAGAGTCCTGTAAAATACTTCTGAGGATTCAGGCACACTCTGATGATTAAAGAGATCACATTTCTGCTTATTTGTAAAAGGGAATGAAAACATCTGTTGAGACTGCACTGTACATGGCAAACAACGGACGTTGTCCAAGATCTGAAAGGAATTTGTGCATCCTGAATTACAGAGAACACCAGAACACAAATATGACAAACATTCTCAGGGTCTTATTTCCATAACTTGATACCTTTCTAGGTCTGAACAATTTACATGGAAAGGAAATAAATATCTACTTTGAAGAGAGAGCAGAAATTTTAGATACATAACCATTAAGTCACTATAGAAGGACTTCCCTGGCAGTCCACTGGTTAAGACTTTGCCTTTCATGGCAGCGGGGTGAGGGTTTGATCCCTGGTCCGGGAGCTAAGATCCCACATGCCTCAAGCAAAACACATGGAATAGAAACGATATTGTAACAAATTCAATACAGGCTTTAAAAATGGTCAACAAATCTTCAAAAGAAGTCACTATATAATAAACCTCTAGTTCAAGAGCAGCTTAAAGAGAGAAGGATGAGAAAGGCAAGGCATTGTTTTCAAATACCTTCCATCACTGGGCAGCTCCCCAAGGTCTTTCAGCCACGTGACAGTGGGGATTAAGGTGTGATCGTGTTTCACTTTGCATTCAAAGGACACGGTGCTCCCTCTTTGCACAACTGCATATTCAGGCTGTTTAATGATCCGTGTTGGATCTGAAATGGAAAGTTACTGTTATCCATTGCCAAAGCTGGAGAATTTGACAAAATCAAAATATAGAGAACAGACTTGTGGTTGCCAAGGCAGAGGAGGGTGGGGGAGGGATGGATTGGAAGTTGGGATTAGCAGATGCAAAACATTACATATAGGATGGATAAACAACAAGGTTCTACTATGGAGCACAGGGAATTATATTCAATATGCTGTGATAAACCACAATGGAAAAGAATATGAAAAAGAATGTGTATATATATATATATATATACACACACATATATACATATATATATAACTGAATCACTTTGTTGTATAGCAGAAATTAGCACAACATTATAAATCAACTATACTTCAATAAAATAATTTTTTTTAAAAACCTGGAGAATTTGCTTAAAGTCACGTAATACATAAAAAATGTTTGCCACCTCTGCCTCACCTTTGATTTCCAGGTGAACATCATTCTTTGCCATTCCTAACTTATTCCGTGCAACACATGTATAAGTTCCCGTACTGTCCTTCTGGGCCACAGGAATTTCCAAAGTTCCATTTTCATGTAAAATATAAATATCTTCACGAAGAGCACTTCCTTTAGCATCCTTAAACCTTCATTATGAAAACCACGAGAAGAAAAACAATGAGAAGAAAAAACCATGAGAAGAAAAACACGTCATAGTTTGAAGTCAGACATAAAATGCCCTGTTCAAGGTCAACACATCATGATCTGCATTACCAGATGATGCTCACAGACTTCAAATCTGTGTAAGCATACTGCATGCCTGTCAGTCAGGGGGGCTGGGGCAGGGGGGGGTCAATGCAAAGACAGGATGTCAAACTGGAGGACTCAGTGATAAATGGTGCTTAAAGAATGAGGGTGGTAATACTAAATACTTAAGTGATAATTTTCATTATGAGAGATTTCTAATTTAATAATCACATTATTATCTATTTTATCTCTAATAAATGAAAAAACAGACAAAATGAAGACTGCTCCTTTTGACCTTTTCCTCCTACAGTGATGTGTCTGTAACTCCATCTGCAGAGATTTCAACATTAGGTTACAAGGGTTGTACTTTTGAGAGTATAAATGGAAAAATATTCGGAGAGGAAAAATAAAAAAGCACACATGTAAGGTACATCTACGTTCAGCTTCTGGGCTAGCATCAAGAGGAGTGAGGATGGACTAACAGAGAATGAACTTATGGTTGCAGGCGGAAGGGACGGTTAGGGAGTTTGGGGGCTCAAACCGTGAAGGATCTGCCTGTAATGTGGGAGACCTGGGTTCGATCCCAGCATTGGGAAGATCCCCTGGAGGAGGGAATGGCTACCCACTCCAGGATTCTTGCCTGGAGAATCCCATGAACAGAGGAGCCTGACAGGTCCATGGGGTTGCAAAGAGTCAGACAAGACTGAGAGACTTTCACTTGGGATGGACATATATACACTTCTATATTTTAAATGGATAACCAACAAGAACCTACTATTATAGCACATGGAACTCTGCTCAATGTTCTATAGCAGCCTGGATGGGAGGGGGGCTTGGGGGGGGATGGATACACGGATATGTATGGCTGAGTCCCTTTGCTGTCCACCAGAAACTATCACAACATTGTTAACTGACCATACCCACAGCACAAAATAAAAAGTTCAGAAGAAGTGAGGATGGATGAAAAGAGGTGTAAGACTAAGCATTAACTCTTCTCCTTTGCTAGGAAAATTTCTACATAAGCATCTGTGTTTGTGTTTCAATCCAGTACCTGGCTTTAATTTCACAGCAAGAAGTAGAGTCCCACACAGTGTCTGCCAGCTGACAGAGGATCCGTAAATGAATGTTCCAATTTTCTTTCACTCATTCTTTCTGCCCTGTTGCCTCTCTTGGCCTTGTCTCTTTCAGCTCAGGCTAAAGCAAGTTGGGAGGATGAACAGGACTAGTACCAGGAGGGATATGTGAAATGGAATGGTCTAAAGAGGGAGTGCAAGACACAGGGGGAGCTTGGCTGGATCCAAGCCAGCATGCTCAGTGGGAGGGGAACACTGGTAATAGCAAATTCTGTTTTTAAGCTTATGGACCCTTCTCTCACCTCAGGTGATATTTTATGATCAAGGAATGTACCTCAACCTATCTCTCCAGCCATCATTCATGACATCCCAGGTGATACTGTGGCACTGTAATTTTAATTTTTTTTTCAAAAACATTTATATATCCCTCCAGGGTGGACAAAGCATACTGCCAAGAAGATTATCCATGTGACAGTATTTAGCATACAGCAAGTCATTAGTAAATATTTGTGAATACATTTAATAAGATGATGGATTCTTCCCTGCTTTTTCTCCCACTAAAACCCTACATACTGAGAAATCTGAAAGCTCTAGCAAATGTAAATATGACAAACAGACAGGACCACTACTTACCACTCGATGGTAGGCAGAGGAGACCCAAAGAAAGCACAGTCCAGTAAGGCAGGTCTGTTTGCGATGACCTGATAAAGTGTGTTTGCAGATGTAAGGATTCGTGGTGGCTCAGCTAAAAACGTTGTGAAAAGGTAAAGTAAATATTAAGATAAAATAAACATTTAGGCCCACTGCGTATTTCTGCATCTTTTTAAGGTCATTTGAGTTCATGATAAGGCACAGCCAATGTATCTCTCCCCTTACGTTCTCAGGCAGGTGTGACCCTACTGGTCACTCGAGGTGGAAAAACACGTTTTCTCCCTCTGCCTCATGTTTGCATCTTACTCAGGCATAGTTTGTAACAACTGATTTCTTTATATCTCCTACTACACTGTGAGTTCCTTGCAGGCAAGGAAAGGGACTTTTTACTGTTTTCTCTCCACAAACCAGCATAGTACCTGGCACAAAATAATGACTAAATACATTTTTGTTGAATGGACCATCAGAACACACAAGTTGGCAGAAAAAAGCAGAACGCTGATGACTCAAAACACAACCAGAATTGGAACTGCTTCCTGTACCTCCATCAACATCGTGATGGTTCAGCTCTTCATGTGATTTTACTAACCTTAGTTTCAAGCATGAAGGAAAAGATACCACATATGGGTTGGCTTCCTGACCTTAATTTTATTTGAAAGGGAGCCTACTCCACTTAAAGAGTTGAAATATAATTCCTTGGTATCATGAAAACCATTCTCATATAAATTTTATTTCTAACAAATCTGGTATTATAGTCATTTTTATTCCATAAGGGAAATATAATGTTCACAAAAACCAATCACTTCAGAACATTTATGTCATAGTTTTCTAAACATATTAGTATGAATTGATAAATAAATGTACATCTGTGACTTAGATCAGTGCTAAACATTATGATTAACGACTGATTTTCAAAAATCACAATCATGAAATTTTCATTTGACTTGTCAGTTTCTAAGGATGGTACAATAGTCACATTCAGTTATTAAGAGCAAACCAGGCCATTTCCGGCGTCCAGCCGGTCGAGGCGGGGTGGCAGTTGGGGGAGGCCTCGGGCGCTCCAGCTGCCAACCGTGAGCGAGCTGTCCTCGCTCGGACCCCGGACAAGCTGTGTCAGCGTGTTATGATGCCGTCTCGTACCAACCTGGCTACTGGAATTCCTAGTAGCAAAGTGAAATACTCAAGACTCTCTAGTACAGATGATGGCTACATTGACCTTCAGGGAGAAACTCACTGCTAAAGCCAGCAGATTGTGGGAATCTTCCTTCTTTCCCGATGTCATGAGATCCAATTTATTAAAGGTATTCTTTGTGGCAAACATTTAAGAAAAGCCCTCCTAAGATCCCATATAAGGCCACTGCGCTTGCTACAGTGCTGTTTTTGACTGGCGCCTTTCTCATTATCATAGGCTCCCTCCTGCTGGCAGGCTATATCAGCAAAGCGGGGGCAGACCGGGCCGTTCCTGTCCTGATCATTGGCATCTGGTGTTCCTGCCAGGATTTTACCACCTGCGCATCGCCTACTATGCAGCTAAAGGCTACCGGGGATACTCCTACGATGAGATTCCAGACTTTGATGACTAGCACCCACCCCAGCCCTGAAGAAAAGAGTCACAGATGGAACTGAGCCCAGCTTTAAGACATTGAGCAGAAACTATGACTACGGGCTAAGGAGTTCTGCAGTTTGCAGATGTTTAACAAAACAGTGGCCAAATTTTATGGGTCCATCCTGAAAGATGTTAACTAAGCTCACAAGTAACTGTCATTCGGGCATTCTCTTATTTTTCATTTTCTGGCCCTGGCAAAAAGCTCTTGACAAAAGTTTTTCTGTATGAATATGCATCATGGGAGAGTAGCAATATTAATTGTATGGGAAAGTGGGAGGTTATTCTGTAGTGGAAAGTGTTCTGCCACCACCCTTTTTAGAGTTGAGCATTCTTTTAAATAGTCCTCATGGTCAGAATGTTCTCATGGCAAATGGAAGAATGCGATATGTCAGATTTCTTATTACTAAGAAATTTATTTTGAAAATATCTTAAGTGTCTTCTCCCCATACTCTTTAACTTTGTGTTCTAGTGGAAGACCTTGGCACAATCAAATATCATTGTGGTGCATCTATATTTTTCACTTGGTTTCTTATTAACAACAACCAGAAATTTTTTTAATCTCAAAGCAAATTTTCAAAATGTAAACACTTTTCTCTGTACACCAATCCTTGACCAGCTCTGATCTGGCTCACTGATAGGTTGGCCAGCATATAATTAGCATATAATTTGGATCATTCTGTCCTGTGTAGATCAAGATGTTCTTATATCATACCTTTATGGACTAGACTTTTGGTTGTTTCCTAAGGAGCAAATGTAGATGAATGGTTATTATTTAGAGTTTATAGCCCTGTTGTTAGCACCTTGTGTTAGTGACATTCTGCTGAAGAATTTAAGAATTGGCCTGGATCTCAAAGGACTGAACTGCCTTAGCTTGATCTGCCTCCTAGCTTGCAAAAAATGACTTGTATTCAAAAGAAATTAAAATGTCAAAATCTAAAAAAAAAAAAAAAAAAAGAGCAAACCAATACTCTTTTCCTTTTGAGGGGTTTGACACAATGTAACCATTAGATTCTATCTTATCTATCTTCCTATATCCCTTCCAGCTCCAAGTTCTATGCCACTGCATAGCAGATGCTTAATGTATTTCTGCTGAATGAATGAAAAACAACAATGGTCATTAATTGAATTTGCCATGTCTTTAATAAAGGGAGAGCTTACCCAGAACATTTACAAATGCGTTTGCCAGTAAATATCCATATTCGTTAGAGGCATTGCACTGATACACTGCACTTGATCTTTCTTGAACTTTGGAAAAAATAATGGTGTCGCCATCTATTTTTCTGCTGGGGTCATCAGGGGCAACTGTTTGGATACAAAAACAAAAAGTATACATTCATTTCTATTTACTTAAAAGATGTACAACTTGAGGTCTAATTTAGAGTAAGGAGAAGACTGATCTAGGTATATATGCAGTAAGAAAGAAAACCAACAACCAGGCAGTAATCATTAATTTCCTTCCTCAGAATTTAGTTATCACTTAACAGCATGGGTATCTGCTTGACATCCATTCAGTTTTAAATGAATTGGTTCTTTTCAATATTATTTTGAGAGAGGTAGGGGAAAAAACCCACAAGTTAGGTATAAATTGCAATGCAAATTCAGGAAAACATTACCTTGTTCACAAAAAATTACTGTAATTTATGAGAAGGAAAGTTAATTATCAAGTGTTAATCACTCAGTTGTATCCAACTCTTTATGATCCCATGGACTGTAGCCCACCAGGCTCCTCTGTCCATGGAATTCTTCAGGCAAGAATACTGGAGTGGGTTGCCATTTCTTCCTCCAGAGGATCTTCCCGACCCAGGGATCAAACTTGGGTCTCCTGCAGTGCAGGCAGATTCTTTACTGTCTGAGCCACCAGGAGGAGATAGCAAAAAGTAGTCCAAAAATATAAAACCCTCTACATCATCATCTGAACTTGTATATTTTAAAAGCCTCTTACTGAAACAGATATGTAACTAAATATGGAGCTAATTATCAAATGTGAAAATATGTATTTTCCTGCTTTGGCAATTTGGGAAGCTGGAGTAGAAATAAACTGTGTGAAATTTCTCTTAAAGGTAGCAGTTTCAGCTAAATCTCTCAAGTATCTAAAAAAAAATGTTAAGACCACAATTGATCCTATCTAAAGCAGAATGGAACACGTTGGTAATATAAGAGAATTCAGTCCAACGCATGAGCAACAATTTGGAAATGCCATGCTATTGAACATATACTTATTTTTGGGAACACTATAAATCTTAGGGTGTAACCTTACATGGCTTTAAAAGTGTACTAAAAGGGGTATTAGACATTGGTCTCAGCATGCTGATCAAAACCAACTCTAAATAACAGCACCCATATATGCAATATCCCAGATAAACCATAATGGAAAGGAATAAGAAAAAAAAGTCTATGCATGTATAACTGAATCACTTTACTGTATAGCAGAAATTAATGTGCCATGGTAAATCAACTATACTTCAATAAAATAAATTAAAACGATAAATAATAGCATCCTTCTTCTTAAACTGCTCTTGGAACCTGAACCACTTACTAGCCTGTACTTACATTCTAAACACCATTTCTCCTCTTTGATGACAGGAAAAGGATGGGCACCTAAAACACATTTATTACTGCCTTTAGACTCCTTTATCACTTTAAAAACTCTCATCTGTGGGTTATTAATGAAAATAAATAACAAAAGACATCATGCTAGTGTTATTCATCTTTGTTTTATTACACATATTCAAATTATCATGCCCACACATTCTCATTCTGCATTCGTTTCTACTGAGGCTGAGCAAGTTATTCTAAACTTAGTGGCTTAAAACTACACACATTTACTATCACACCATTCTGTATGTAGTTGTATGTTTGACGTTCCAATCACAATTGATAGCTAACTTAGGAAATCATCTTAGTATAGCACAAGGAACGCTGCTCAACGTTATGTGGCAGCCTGGATGCAAGGGGTGTTTGAAGGAGAATGAATACATGTGTATGTATGACTGGTTCCCTTTGCAGTTCACCTGAAACTATCACAACATTGTTTGCTAATTGGCTATACCCCAATAAAGTAAGTGTTAGTCGCTCAGTCGTGCCTGACTCTTTGCGACCCCATGGACTGCAGCCCACCAGGCTCCTCTGTCCATGAGATTTTCCAGGCAAGGATACTGGAGTGGGTTGCCATTTCCTTCTTCAGGGGATCTTCCCAACCCAGGGATCGAACATGGGTCTCCTGCACTGCAGGCAGACTTTTTACCGACTGAGCTACAAGGGAAGCCCTATATACCCCAATACAAAATAAAAATTTTTTAAAATAAATCAAATCAAAAGAGAAACAAAAAATAAATAAATAAAAGGAAGAAAGACTATTGTCTTAGACAGTCCAGTTACTTCAACTAGTGATGGAGTGAGCCACGGTGCTCTGAGTTGGCGGACTTCCCTGGGTCCAGTGGTTAAGACTCCCTGCTACCATTGCCCGGGGCATGGGTTCGATCCCTGGTTGGGGAACTAAGATCCTGAATGCTGTGTCGTGGCCGAAAAAAAACAAAAACAAAAACAAAAACAATTTGAGTTGGCACCTTAGCTCACATCCACTGTTTATGATTCTAATGATTTCAAAATGGCCTTAAGGAGCATGTTCTTCCAACCAGAAGAAAAATACAAGTTCAACTCCTTGGACAGAGTATAAATTTCCTCAGTAAATGAGAGCAGAGGACCGACATGCCACACTGGCCTAGGAAGTGGATGAGACCTGAGGCCGGCTGTCAGGTACCCTGAGAATGCATCCTTCAGGGAGGCCTGTGTTCCCTGTCCTGCATCCCAAGTCTAGGATCACCTCGGCCTTTCTGACTCACACATTCTCAGCAAGCAATGCCCTTCCACAGTCTCCAGCATCTCTGGAGTCTCCTTCTCTGTCAACGATTCTCAGTGTTTTGGACCCAGCAGTTGTCTCCACGTGCACTCTGACTGCACTTCTGTGGACCCGTCAGGCAGTGGAGGGCTGGGAGTCCCTCCCAGTTCCTTGAAAATACCGAGCTCTTAAAAGCTACACCGCTGTGTGTTTAATGGGGATAGAGTTCCAGTTTTTCAACATCAGAAAGTTCTGGAGATCTATTTCACAATAGTGTGAAAGTACTATAACACTCTTAAAAATGATTAAGATGGCAAATTTTCTGTTATGTGTGTGTATTTTTTAACTGAAGTATAGTTGATTTACCATGTTGTGCCAATCTCGATATACAGCAAGTGACTCAGTTTTACACATATATACATTCTTTCTAAAATAATTTTTTCTATACTGCTTTATCCCAGGAGATTGGATATAGTTCCCTGTCCTAGACAGTAGAACCTGTTATGTGTCTTTTCAACCACAGTAAAAAGTTACCTCGTCATGAACATGGAAGACCAGCTCAACTCACAAAGCCAGTAGGACCATCTTCCCCTAGTGGGGGTTCATCAAGCACAACACACACCATTTAGGACAGCTTTTATGTAGCCCACAGCTTGTTTTTTTTCCTGCTATCAACCCTTTTCAATTTGTTTTTTTTCCTTTAACCTGAGAGGCCTCTGAGTGTTTCTGCCTTATTTCTGCTAAATGGAGCAGCCTCCAAATATTTATTTTTGGTGATGTATTTAGAAATCAAATAAGCCCTCTAGGTAAGAGTAATAAGAGTAAATAAGCAGATATTTCTCCATGGGGGTTTGGTCTACCAGCCAAATGCTGGTTTGGTTTTCCTTGAGTACTTACTAAAGAAATACCAGCAAACCCGGGACCATCACAGTGACATACGGGAGCTCAGCAGGTACTGGACAAAGAATAAAACCACTGGTGCAGAGAGATTTGAAGCCTTTGAATTCTGTGTCCTGGCTCCTGAGTGGGAGTAACCCTCTAGTATCTAAACCCAAATTGCCCACAGAAATAATAATTAATTCTAGGAATACCAACTTCGATTGCTATAAATGCACACTGGGTAAAGAAACTTAAGAGCGTAGAAATCACCACTGTACAAAGCCCCAAAGGTGAGGTTCAGAACTGGGGTGACAGTCTTCCAATAATACTTTCTTTTATTCTACCCTTCCTGACATGGTTGGCCCAAACCATGAATGTTTCCAACATTTAGAAAATAAGAAAAACAAAAAGTGCCAGTATACAAGTAAAACATACTATCAAATTTTAAAATATTTTTGTATCGAATGCATAGTTTTATTTTAAAAAGAGCTTCATGAAACAGACTAAGGAGAGAGAAGTACATGTATCTCGAAGATAAGAAACTAGAGACTTACTGGTTTATTTAATGTACAATAACTGCTCTGATTTCCTGAGTTAGTCTCCTCTATAAACATCTGAAATCTGAACATCTGTGCATAATGTAGAACAAATCTCTGAATGAAGAGATGAATTTTCTTCTTCATCTACGTATTACATCCCCTGTGAAGGGATGGCCACTGAGCTCTTTTGAAAAAAGGAAAAAGATGACTTGGTGGAATCTTGGGGAGTCCTAGACCACATCTCCGTTCCTCTGCCTGCTTACTATGTATCACTGTCTTTCAATCTCTCCCTCCAATATGTAACTGTGGCAGGAGGAGGCCTTCTGTCTACTCTTACTCTCTTCATTCCATCCCCTTCTCATCTTTTAGAGAACAGGGGACTTTTAACATAATAATAGTGTGATCTTACAGACACTCCACTTGGAAGAATCCGAGAGATCTACCTCAACTCACAAGGGGGATGATTAAAGATCTACAAGCGCTAGGCTCTCCCACTCTCTCCCAGAACAAGGTCAGGAATCTTGGTGTCCACAGCCTTGACCTTGGACATTTTCTTGCTGGTCCTGGGTTCTATTTTCACACTTTCCCAGACACTGTGGGTCACATAATAAAAATTAGGAGTTCTTTTTTGGCATCAGCACCTCTGCAGCTGTGTTCTTGACTTCTGCAGGTGGTTTCAAACATATTTTATGCAAATTCCATATTTAATACTTTTTTTTTTTTTTTTTGCTTCAAGGAAAGTTTAAAGTAACCTGGCCAGTCCTAGGGGGACAGAGCTTTGAAAGACATTGAGATTAGGGCCCTGACTCTTTATGAATGAATTCTTCCAGTTCTGTAAAACAGTAGGTGCCAGGTCTGAAATGCACAGTCACCAACCAGCAACACTATATTTTGCTATCAAAATCCAAGTCTGACCCTCTCCTGTCCTGACCCACCTTCTCCTTTTATAGTCCTGATGTGCACTTGGCAGCGAGAACCTACAGAGGTGGGGGCGGGGTGGGGGGAAGAGCGTGACAGTGTCCTTAGGTGACTGTCTACAAATCAGG